TATTATAATTAATTAATATAACTATTAATTATATAAATAATATATTATAAATAATATTATTAATTAATATTTATATAGTATATAAATATAATATATAATATAAATTGTATATTATACGTATAGTGTATTATATATACTACATATATACAGTATATTATTCAAAAATTTATAATATTTTCATTAAAAATATTGTACCCATAGAATTATTAAAAAAAAAAAAAGATACATTTTTGAGACAACCTAATATATATATATATATATATATATATGTATACATATATTATTTACAAATTACAGAAGAGAGGTTATATTAACCAATTTTGTTTTTACAATTACAGTACATGATAAAAGATAATATCTGCAAATCATGCAATTTAATGCCTAACTGCTGCTGGCTGCTGCTGCTGCTACTTCCGTTTCAATATTATCTTTAACAGATAATATTTGATAACTTTACAAAATAAAAAAATATAAAAAAAAAAAGGTAAAACAGATAAAATGACAAGTTAACTTTTGTTAAATAGTTACTAGATTAGATTATAAATGACTATACTTCTGTTATCTATAAAGGAAAGTAAAATAAAAAATCAAATAATAAATAAATATATATGTCTATTACAAATAAAAAGATAAAATGAATGATACATCATCGTGTATTGCATCAATGTAGGTAAGTTTAAACAATCATATGATAATCTTTTTTTTTTTAATATATACATTGTATTAGATAAATAATGGTACTTAAGTATTAACGCCATAGCACCGTAGCAAAAATTCATCTAATGCGCCGAATCTACACTTTAAATTGTTGCGACAAATTATAGAATCAAAAAAAAGAAACTTTATTTAAAATTGCAACACTTTGAACACTTGCAACACTTTCAAAATTCAAAAAATTTTTTTTTGCAAACCCTGAAGCAAACCCTGACGAAACTCTGACGGATGCTATGTGCAAACAACATGGTTGCTCTAATATTGGCGCAATTAGCGAAATTTGTTGCTGCAATGGCGTTAATACCTACGTAAATACCTAAATAATATTGAGCTGCTTTTTTTGTTTGTTTTTTTTTTTTGTAGATATTTCCTATCTTCTGTAATCTGTATGATAATATTATTGAAAATACTTACGAGAGAACCTAGAGCAGAGTATTCCCTATTTTCTGGAAGAAGATAAATATCAAAGAGAATCCATACTCCTCTCCAAACAAATACGACCAATGTACCAACGACCCCAACACTAAACGCACAATCGAGTAAGTACAACGACCAGCCCCTCGTATTCTGTTAACAAACAAACAAACATCATCTTCATTATATTATAAATAATATTAATTGTATAAAGCTTTCCCCATTCTACAAATTGAGATTTGTTTTTTAACACTAAAAACTATCACTGCAGTCATTTTGACTGATTGGTTTATCATTGATTTTGATTTGATATCAAGAATACTTTGATACCAATTATTGTACTTATTGTAATTATTATTATTATTATAATTGTTTTTAAGATTTCATAATATGAAGTTACTTTTGTAAAATAATAATAATAATAATAATAAGTTAATAAATGTAAAAGTAGAATATTTGTATATCTTTTTAAAAATCAGTTTATTTGGGACTAGTTTTGTTAGAGACAGCTACGTCTTATTTGTGCAAAATAATTTGATTTTTGTTTAATTAACCCTTAAAGTGCACACTTGGGGTAAATGTTAGTTAAAAGTGCACTGTGGGTGTTTGACACCCCCAACGTGTTTGAAAAACGCGTCTCCTGAAGCCGCTATTTTGTTTAAAAGTAGTTTGATACAGTCTTTTTTCGAAATAGAACAGGTTTTATATTCATCTGAATTGACACTAGATGGCACTAGACGACAAATAACCCATTTTTTTTTTTCGAATTCAGTATCGTTTTCGAGAGATCAGAAAAATTTGTTGGGGGTGTCAAACGCCTCATGTGCACTTTAAGGGGTTAAAAATGAAGAAAAATAATAAATTTAATATAATAATAAACATATTTTTTCTATAAAAATTTGGAAGGTTTTTAAATCATCGATATATCTAACGATGTAAAATGTTATTAACTTTTTACAGAAAGAAAAAAAAAAAGAAACAAAAAACAGATGAAAACGAACAATGTGTACGCTAGAAGAACAACACCCTGATTTGAGCATACATTTATGTTTAAAATAATTTTATGCAAGGAAAGTTTAAAAAAAAAAAAAAAACTAAGCTTGAACGAAGGACAAAGCTGTATTTTTCATTAGGACAAAAAAAAAAGAAGAAAAAGAAAAAGACAAAAAAAAATAAAGATAGAAAAATAAAAGAGAAGATGATTTAGTTAGAATTTGGAAGCTAATTTTGAGTAGCTAAAGCAAAGAAATACCTTTGCCTTCGACTTCGTATGGTGGGATGCCATGAAATGCCATTCGTAATCAAAGCGGCAGAAGCTCGAAGCGCAGTAAACTGAAAAAAAGAAAAACAGCAAGTCTTTTTTTCCTTTTTCATGAAGGAGGATTTCTACAAGCGATGCGATGCGATGCGATGCAATGCGATGCGATGCGATGTCAAATTCGATGCTCAAATCAGTTTTGTAATCGATCGATAAAACATAATTGCAATTTTATTATATATCGAAATGAATGAATATTTTAAGATAAATTTTAATCAATATATATATATATATATCCATTTTGCAAATGAAATCGAAGACAATGATTCTCGATAGGACATAATTTCAGAAACGTCGTACCAGTCGAGAATTATTTAACTGACGTTGATCTCCAATTTAGCCATTAACCAAATTGAATCCAACTTCTATCCTAAGAAGAAGCTAAAATGAACTTAAATGCACGTTTCTGAGAAAGAAAAAAAAAAAAAAAGATTCTACCATTCCCTATAGTCACCTAATTTTCCTATCTAAAGTTTGAAATACGATAAAAGAACAAAAGTTAAACCCATTTTCAACATATTATACAATATCACTTTTCCTTTGAACTTATTGTTAAAGTTAGAATCTATTAAACATATAGGAGTAGTAGACAACGTAAATGCATTTACTTATGCCTCTGCCTGTATGGATCATACAAGCGCAATACTGATCACGATCGGGGGAGATAGCCGGAAACTGTGCTTATGCGTGAACGATGTGGAACCTCATGAGCTCGTAGGATATGCGAAAATTCCCGACTATTTTCTACATAATCCAACAAAAAATGTCATCGACTAATATCATAGAAAACGATCCCGAATATACAACCAGTTAATCCAATCTTAGATTTCAATACTTGCATATTTAAAATGATAACATACGAACAAATATACTTGTATAAAAATATTCATTAGATCAATTTGAATTATCATTGTAATTTGGACAAGTCGATGGTATCGGATCACTTAATGTCCCCACTCACACACTAAAGCTAATTCAAAAGTAGTTGAGAGTAGCAATCGGTCTGTTTAGAAGATTTAATCTCATAAAAGAGGTATAATGACTCGTGTAAGCTTAATGTTACAAATTAAGACCATCATTGCGATTAAATAGCGAACAATATATAATACCTAAAGTGTAGTTTTCGTTTAATAGTGTACAAAAGTGTGTATGTATGTGAGTGATTTAATTTATTAACATAGTCAAGAAGAAATTGATAGCCTTAATATAATAAAAATAATGCACGGATTCGTCATAGAACTGTCAATTTCAGCGGCAAGTATTTGTTGTTGTTGTCTCATATTCTTATTGGCACGTGTCACGTTGCAAACGAGTCAAGCAATTGTATTCCCCATATGTAAAATAACTTACGTTTACGCGAAACATAGTCTGCACTTCGAAGTATCCGGGACAGGAATCGAGGCTAAGGGAGAAGGGCGGCGCGGAAACATTTCTGATGGCACGCATAATCGCTAGCGCTAGAAGACTGGTCGCGGTGGTTAAGGAGACGCTGATTGGGTCCAGTCCCATGTACAAATCGAGGGCTTGCCAGGCGCCACGCCATGCATTAACACAACAAAAACCAAATACAGCTGTGTAGATTCTTGATCCCGCGTAATAGGACAACCTATGTTTGTCTGGATGCAAAAGATCATTGAGACGGTGTTGTGTGATGCTGAAGAAGAATAATCCTGTAAAGCCTATCACTATCGAGACGAAACTACTGAGGTTTTTATTGTCTTTGTAAAGATAAGTGTCGCTTAAACCCCAGGTACCTCTCCAATAACCGACCACCGCGGGTGCAGCTATTATGGCTGAAAAGATCGTATCGAAGATCGTTAAGATCATATAATGAAGCCGACTCGACGATGGGCTGTCCAATCCTCCCGTCATACCAACGCCAGTACGTAATTCGACCATCCTCATCCAATCTTGATCGAGTCTAGTCGCGCTGTTTGTCATCGTGCATGATTTGATCTTTTACTCTTTCACCTATCGTTGAACAACCAGGTGAATTCAACAAATTCCTCCTATTCGTCGTTATTCCACACGACATTTATTATTAATTTCATTTATTATCTTTTTATTCTTTGATTTCTTTATATCAGGAAGAATCGAAAATCGAAGATTGTCAACCGTTCTTCCGGATAAATCTTAACAATATAAACGAATCTTGCGTAGTCCTGTCCTTTGAACATTTTCACTCGATCACCGTTGTTTAATCCCTAGCACCACTTTCTTCCTTATTATTAATATTATTATTATTATTTATCATCGATACCGTGCCACCCTAAATATCTTTTAGTTTTCTTCCACATCCCTTTAAATCAAACAAAATTATAATTTGATATAAGTCCTCGCGACGTATGATTATGAAAGCTACGAAGACGAGATGTGGTCTCCTGTCTATCGACAGGTCGGATAGCGGGTGAGTACTGACTTCTGTTTAGCCACCGCTATCTTTTATCAACTGTCGAGTACCAATACTCTGACATTATCGTAAACGTCGACACTCTCGTGTAGACTACACATGGAGAATACTATAGTACTCTCCTCTCCATTAACTTTACCGCCAGCCACACCGACACCCCCCACTCATTCCACCTACAATACACTATCACAAATTAGACGAGAAACTTATCAGAGGATAAGCTTCTTAATCATTTTTCATTTCAAAAATGTCATTCCCTTTCTGTTCTTATAAATGGTATCTCTTTAGCATTCTAAATGTTAGCCTGTATCTAGATTTCTAGCATACCTTTTGTATAAATGGTTGCATACAATACGGGCCAGATGTTTACAAGATGAGAACCACGCGCGTTCGCTGAACTTTGCTTTCAGAATTTGTTCTAAATAATTAAAATGCCTGATACTTATAAATATAATCGGACAATATAATAATCTTTAATTATTTTGACAAATTACGTTGATGTACAAATCAATTATGACATTAATTAATTATTCGCCATTGCAATACAAAGCACAAGAGTTCATCATGAAGAATTATTCATGTGTTGTAACAATTATAAAACATCCTTCTTTAAGAATAGAAGCTGAACGATGAATAGAAAAAAAAAAAAAGAAAAATAGAAAGACCTGGAAGATTTTGAAAAAGAAAAAAAGAAAAAAAAAATGAAGAAGACAAGTAGCCAAGTTGACGAAATCACGCTTGAGCCACCTTGAAGCTTCATCTTTTTTAACTAGAATTTCCTGTCCAACAAATTCCACGGGCTTTTGTCGCGTCGAAGTTGTCGCTAATCGTAAGCTTTTTGTCTGCCAATCAAGCTTCGATTACCGCAATCTTCTCACCTTGGCTCATCACTTTTTGACGAGCGACATGTTCATCATTTTAGGCTGGACATGCGACACCCAAAGGACGAACAAAATTTTTATTCATGCCATAATTGTTAAACTCTTCTATAATAATCACAGCTTTTACTTTCATTTACAAACCGCTTAACCTAAACATACTTAATTGGCAATTGTTTATTATTTTTATAAGGACAAACTAATTTATTCGTATAACATTGTTAAATATGAAGAAAATCTTGAGATATCAAAATTCATTTGACCAAACAACAATCAGATAATATTGAAATTTGATATTAATGCTCAATTAAAGAAAAGTATTTTGATTCAAAGATTTATTCGAATGATGGTTAGGTTATGATATTTAATATACACTGGTATATAACTTTATTGCACATTATTCAATTTGTCTTAATCTACACTGGAGAAGAAACGAAAGTGTGTCATGACAAACGTTCGTGAAATCACGTCTCTCGTAGAATCTATTTCATATATATCATATTTTTGTTATGCATTAAATCTATGGTGCATATGTTTCGTTCGATAGAATGAAGATTATGGAACATAACCTTATTTTTGGAGACATAAAAAATGAATAAAAATGATATTCATTCAGTTGGTTTAAGTGTTGTTCAAATGTTTTTTACTATCAAAATCAATTTGTAATGAATATTCTGCGAGAAGTTGCTAAATCTGATAATAGATGGCTCATTTGTCTCGGAAGAGTTTGGTGCTTTGATGTACAAGATCCAAAAAATCAATCAATCATCAGGTAGACCCCCCTCCCTATCTGGTCTTTACAGCATGGTTTAGTGAAACCCTGTCACACAATTTGTGTTTAATTATTTTTATACAGTCTAAAATAACGAAATAATGTTTGGGTTGTTGGCTTCTACCTCCATCTTTATTTGAAACATTGTGGTATACCTGTAACAGTTACGAAACAAATGTATGGTTCTCTTGCTATTACAGGGTTTAACCAGCTAACTCCGATCCTGCGATGACGGACGGCCCTCAATTCTGGGTGCTTACCACTGGGCCACCATTACTATACCCCTTGTTTATACTGTTTAAGAACTCTTATATTTTGTATAAAATTAATAACAACAAGATAATATTACTATTTGAAGATTGCACCATACCACCACCCATTACCATAAGCAACTTGTCTTATTTCTTCCAATTGAGATTCTGCCTACTGTTTAATATGTTTTTTATTATATGTTAATAAAACGTAAATTAATTTTTGTATTTATTAACAATATAATAATAATTATTTTTAAAAAAAGCAACCCTATATTTATCCTACACCTGATATATTCTGCAGTCGTCTTATTCTCTCGAAACTTAGTTTTTCGAAGGTTTCACTTCTAACACGTGTGATCTGCCCACATGATATTTTTTTTGGTACGCATTTCGAGATTTTTGGTTTAGAAATTGACTGCAACGTAGTTCCGGTTGTTCTTAAGCCGTTTGGTGTGTGTTGATAATCCCATTAGAGTCCTTGATATTAACCCTCTTGAGTCATGAAATTTTTCTAAGTACTGATATGACTGAATTCGTTATTATTATTATCAATCATTTCTATTCTCAATTGAATGCAAATTTTTGTATTTTTATCTAACTTTACTTTAATTTACACTAACTCTATCTAATATAACAACTTCCCAATCGTGTCGAAGTATGACTATTATAAGTATACCACGTACAACGATATAAATTTATCTGCAAAGGAAAAGGTTTCTATGTTTGAAATAAAGATTAAAAAAATGGGGGTAGGTTAAACCCAATCATTATTTCGTTATTTTAGTCTGCAAGAAATAATTAAACAAACAGATTGCGGAGATAGTACGAAACTAAATCCTATTAAATATTGTCAGGGTTTCTACTAACCATAAGGTGAAAACCTCATGAGGTAACCTACCCGATGATTGATCGATATTTTTGATCTTATATATATTATCAAAGTATCAAGCGCTTACGAGATTAATGAGACATCTATTATCAGATTTGACAATTTCAAGGCGCGAAATGCTTCTTAGACTAATGAGACCTCTATTATCAGATTTGGCAACTTCTCGCAGAATATTCATTTTAAATTGATTCTAATATTTAACAACATTTGATTAATACTGAAATCAAAAGAATGAATATCATTTTTATTTATTTTTTTTATTCTCTCATAAAATATTGTAAATAATATTTATAGTTCTATTAAAAAGAAATAGATAACCTTAAAATTTTGTATATATAAATTTGAAGTTTTTTAAAGAAGATATTAAAGATGGACAAATTTATTAAAACATACTCTGTATATTAATGTGTTGATATAATCATAACATTGGACTAACCAATCTACTGTATAAATCGTGTATTACATGTTGATAATGTGAACGAAGCTTAAGAAACGTAACAATAAATTCGACGCCGGACAATAATACGAACAGAACCTAATTGACAGTGGTATGACGTGATGAGATTTGAAATTTCGGTTTATCATTAAATTGTCATTGACTATTACCGATCATTGAATTATATTCATATCATTTCAATCTAAAATTATATTTGATTGTATTAAATGAATTCATATCGTAATGGCATACGCTTAAATATTTCATGCAACACGACATTGATCATGACATTGTAATATGACGTTCATTGTTTATTCAATTATTCATTTAATTTCTAATGTATTTTTATTATTATAATTAGTAAGTATATAAAATGTATATACGTGATTAATAAAAATAATTATACATGACTTCTGCGGAATACTTTATCAGTTTGATAACAGTGGCAAGTGCAAAAAAATTGGCTACAGCACTTGTCGTTTGTTTTATACTTTATCATGGCGTGATACATCTTATTTATGGTATAAATACATTTTACTTAACTTATTATACAATTGTATTCTGTAATTACAATTGCAATATATTTTTATGTCTTAAAGGTAGCGATTCTTGTAAATGGTTATTAACAGAAGGAAGATACAAGGGAGATAAAGAATGGCAACCGTACGGTTGTATGATGCATCATTATACACAAACGTAAGAATATATAATATTTTAATATTATACATTGCTAAAAAAAAAAAAAAAAATAATTGTGTGTGTATTTGTTTCTTTTAGAGATAGTAGAACGTGCATGAGATATTTGGCTTTCATGAAACATCATAATCATTTTGTATTTACCGGTGATGCTAGGATAAGACAAATTTATAAATCATTCGTATCGCAATTCGTAATAGATGGTAAAGCATCTGATCTCACAGAATTGCCAGAAAATTCAGATTTAAGTTTTAACGATGCACAATTAAAATTACAAGTGCAGTTCCTATGGAGACCAAAATTGGATAACACTATGATAGAAGATTTCAGACATTGGATGGTATAATTAATACAGTATTATATCTTTCCATTTATATGTGGATTCACTTTAACAACAGTATTACTGTATTCATCATTAAAAATGTTCAAATTATGTCTTTTTACAGAATGACGAAACGATGCCTAGTTTAATAATTGCAGGCTGTGCTGCTGCTGATATTCTTGCTAATAATATTAGCGAAACGCAATTATATTCCGATTACAGTATGGGTCTTGTAAGATTAATACAGCCAGCAGATACTTTAGCTAACAAAGGTTCACAAGTTTTATGGGTAATGCAAGATCCTGTAGTGAAAGAAAGATTACCTGCCCAATTATCGGTTATAGACAATGCACAAATTAATCTGTGTAATAAGGCAGCTGTAGAAGTAAGTAATTACAAATAATAACTGTATAATAATATGAAATATGTTAGTATGATGATAATTAATGATGAATTTTTGTAGATTTTTTCTCATAGTAATGTACACTTGTGGGAAAGTAGTAGACTCGTTGGTGCAGGAGTACTGGAACAAAGTCCAGATGGTTATTTAGCCAGTCCATTATCCTTACGTCACAAAGTTCAAATATTATTGAACACATATTGTAACAATCATATGAACTTTGGTGATGGGAGTTGTTGTAGCTATCCAGAATCAGCTACAACTTTACAATTATTAACTTTATCTATTCTAGCGATATGGTAAGTGTTAATATATTAATTGTATTTGTACAGCAGGTAACTGAAAATCTGTTATAGTATAATAATTGGTGGGAGTGTTTGGTTGTACAGAAGATTCTGCCAGCAACGATCGGAAGTTTCATACTCAAATGTAGCTATAGAAGAAACCCGAGATACGGAAGAAACTGAATCTTCTGAAACTGCGCAATTAGAATCTTCCGAAGCTGTACAAATAGAGCAACCTCCTCAAGTGCAAGACTGTTATAGCTTAAGCACATCTTTGGCTATTTTATCTATTATATTAGCATACTTTTATTTATGCGACAGGTATATTTTTCTAATCTTTATTTTCATTATAATATAATATTATTTATATTATATTAGTTAGATAGTTTGGGATTATAATGTTATATAAATAATATTAATAATAATTATTATTATTTTCTTTTTTTTTTTTTATGTTATATTTAGAACGAATTTCTTCATGAAGGAGAATAAATATTACAGCGAGTTTAGTTTTTGGCTACCACTTGGATATATCTTAGCTCTTGGATTATTTTTTACTGAGCACTGTGAAAGAGGACCAAATGCATTAAATAGGGAACAGACTGACGAATGGAGAGGCTTAATGCAAGCAGTAGTGCTTATATATCATGTTACTGGTGCCAAAAATGTATTACCAATTTACATGTATTTAAGATTAATTAATTCTGCATATTTATTCTTATCTGGATACGGACACTTTTGCTATTTTTGGCAAACAGGTGATGTTTCACTCGTCAGATTTGCCAGGGTAAATATATGATTTTCATTTAATAATTAACATCACATGTGCACATTACTACTTTATATTTCATTACAATTTGTTGATCAATATGAAATATAATAATATTTTTCTAGGTCATGTTCAGATATAATTTATTAACTGTGACATTATGCTTATGCATGAATAGACCATATCAGTTTTATCATTTTGTACCGTTAGTTTCATTTTGGTTTTTGGTTATTTACTTTTTGGCGTGGCTACCTCCAAGAGTATATTCCGGAAGTTTGGCCGAATATGGTCCAAGAACGTTGCTTTATCTTGCATTAAAATTATTGGGCTTAGTATCAATAATTACAGTATTATATATGTCAGAGGTAAGATTAATAATAATTAAACATTATTCAATGTTAATAAAACAACATTGAAATTAAAATGATATTATTCTTGTATATATATTTAGGTTTTCTTTGAGAAAGTCTTTGTAACGCGACCTTGGAAAGCATTATTCGTTACAACCGACGATGATATACGAGAATGGTGGTCACGGTGGCGAGTTGATAGATATAGTGTTGTATGGGGTGTTACATTTGGTGCTGCACTTGTAGCTCTGCAAAGAATAGATCATATACCAGGAACAGCATTATCTTCAGTATTGGCACTAATTTCTTTAGTAGCTTACACCACATTTACAATACTATGCTATTCAGTATCAGAATGCGAAGAGATACATTCCTACGTAGCCTTTATACCTGTAATATTATACACATTCAATTTATTTAACATTAATCTTATTTATTATTTATGCACATTTATGTATATACATATTTTTCTATTTTTGTTTTTGTTTTTTTTTTTTATAGATCGTAGGCTATATTGTACTTCGTAATGCTTCATTAGCACTGCGTGGAAAACATTCCGTCCTACTAGCTGGATTAGGTAGGATTAGCTTGGAAACATTAGTAGGCCAAGGTCACATATGGTTAGCTGCAGATTCACATGGTGTATTGGTCCTACTACCTAGGTTTCCAGTATTAAATCTTTTAATTACTTCATTTATCTTCATATGTGCAAGTCATGAAGTAAGTACTACCTCCTTATTTCTTTCTTTTTTTATTTTGTATTACCACATTCGCAACCAATGTTGTTTAGAACAATTAAATATAATTAAACAAAAGAAATAAAACCAATGAATTATTGGTTTCGAATGTTTGCATATTTCTTTTTTTATTTTTTTCTTTTACAAGTATCTGTAAAGATTTGATATATATATTTTGACTTTTATCAACAGATACATAGATTGACAATTATGTTGGTACCTTATGCGGTACCAAATGACTGGAGAAAAGTAGCTCGGAATTTGTTATTATTTATTGCTGTGCTAGTACCTATTGGAATACACGATGGAATGTTTTGAATGTAATTACAATTATATTTTCCATTGAAGATTTGAAATTATTCAGTATCTGAATACAAATTTGAATTTGAAACAATGGGTAATACTACATTATTAATTAATTAATTAATTTATTTTTTTATATTTATTTATTTATATATTTATATTATTTATTTAATTAATTTATTTAATTATAATTTATTTTATTATTTTTATCCTTTTGTTATAGTATTCTATTATTTTTTTTTCTTTTTTTTTTTTTTAATCCAATTATTGTTAATTGCTAGTTAATAAATTAAAATCATCTATAAATATAATTATCATTGACATGTAACATCATTTTTGTTATATTTAACTTGACTCGTGTAAACGTCATAACCAAGTGATATAGTATTATCATACAATACTCTATATTTAGTTGGAAGAAAAGAGAAATTAATGATCTGCGCTGGCGGCCATATTATCCATTCTGCTATATACAATTTATGTGCCTTATTAATTATCTCATTTTTAAATTCTGACAAATTGTTTCTTTCCATTAGTCCCGTTGTTAAAAAAAATATTCCTATACAAAGTGGGGAACCAATTAACTGATCAATTATTACTTTTTTCAGTACAATTTTACTAGTGCGTCCAGCTAACTTAGAATCCAAGTGTTTGTACCAAAAATGACAAAAAATACCAACGGACATGCCACTCACAGCCATATTCTTTGTTCTGCTTGGACTCCATTTTTCCCATTGGCCCTAAAAGTACATAACACAGTATATAATATTAAGCTTTATGTTTTCAATTAAACACATTGAACTTATCAATTGATAGTAGGTAAACCTTGATTATTTCATAGTGTTGTTCTATCATATCTCCTACTGCTGAAAGAGAAATTGATACTGCTACATTGGTGTATAATAAATTTTTCGATGAAAATAATTTATCTTTTATAGCATTTACTTTATGTAACCATTCAAATCTTCTTATAATGTTAAGTTTCTGAAAATTATTCAATCTTTTTAATATTCTTTAAGAAAATTTGTCAAACAAGTATTTCAATTTATACATACCATTTTGCATTAACAGTAGTAGTCTAGTCTCATTATTGATATACGATTTATGATTAATTCATAAATTAACATATGAACAATATTGCACTTTTTCAAATCTTTATAAATAAATATTATTATTATTTAAACAAACTGTATAAGGAATTAATTTAATATTCTAAAAAGTCAAAGTACTTGTATAAATATCACGACTGAGACTGATCAGGTGATGAGTGTCGCAATGAAAGATATAGTAGGAACATGTAGACGAATTTTAATATACTTTAGGATAAAGTATCACTGATGTCATAATTAAATAATTTATATATTAAATTATTATTATTCATTAATTATTTTCTATGATCACACATATTTAAACGACTATACTATCTACAAAGTTTCCTGAGTCTTAATATTAAATTTTTACACGTGCAGCCATCTTGTGCAACAGTCGCGCCATCTCTCAGACGTCAGGACAACTTGTGCGTCAGTAGCACCATCTCTTAGACATTAAGACAACTTACTTGTGCATTAGTCGCGTTATCTTTTGGACTGTCGATATAATTTTATAATATGTCGATAAATTACCGACCTGTAATAAATTAGAAATTTCTGCTGAAAATGGTACAGAGAAAGAGCGCGAATAAATTCAATTTTAAAACGTACCTACGTTTGTAAGATAATGCGATTGAATAATTTTTACAGTGTCGATATGGCTAGGATTATCGATAGCAACATTTTGTAACAGGAAGATAAACATAGGAAGGATTAAAAGAAACAAAGAAAACATTTCTATTCCAAAATTGAAAGGGTAGCAAATTGATTTTCAACAAGAACATTACATACGTTAAAAAGTTATTAATCTTATTATATAATCCTATAATTATAAAGTCATTTTTTAAAATCGTAATATTTTCTAACCTAAGTAACCCCTCTGTATATTTTCCATTTTGTAAATGACCTATTTAATTTTGTATACATTAATGTGATATGCATACCATATACGTACATATATATATATATATATATATATATATATAACATATTGTACCCTAATAACATCCATAAATTATGAATAATCGAGTATTATCTTTGGGGGGGCGATTAAATGAAATGTGACCGCACAATTAAGGGTTGCAATAAGTTAACATAACTAAAACATTTGTTTTGAACTTAGAATAAAAATGGGGTGTTATTCGTTCCAACGCAATTCTAACTTTAGATACTCGTAAAAATATTTGGAAAATATTTAGAAATTGCGGTAACATGGAATAATCGTTAAAATATCTCAGTGAAAAAATGCTAAATGCTAGTAGCCTCTATTGAAATTACGCGAGGCTCCATCGTAAGAGACCTGTGCGCTAAAACCATGTTTCCAATCGGCCGTGTATCGTACAATCTGCATTCTGCCATCAGGAAGTTGGACGCGATATTCACCCCGTACGATATCCCCGTCGCTAATGGCATTGTGAGAATAGTCGTTTCCGAAGGCATCCTCCTTTACTGCATAGTTAAAATCAAAGGGCATACCAGGTTCGTGGTGATGATGATCGTGCTGTAATTATAAACAACGATAGTGAAACCTTCAAATAAACAAGTTTTGAGGATAATTTATTATTTCATATTATTATAATATTATTTGTACTTTTACTTTGTAATTATTTATTTTATTATTAATTTAATTGTAAAAAAATGCGCGCCTGTTCGTATGCAACCCTCCAGACACATTTTTTTGCAATCAAAACTGTTTATACACGTATGTATGACGGGTTACCTATCTTTCGGGCAGAAGAAAATTCCGTCTCGACAGGTAGCGCTCGCAAGCAACATTTTCAAAGTGTGTTTGGAGGGTTGCATTCATACAGGCGCGCGCATTTTTTTAATAATAATTACAAAGAAAGTAAATAATAAAACGCTTTTAAAAATTGAACTTTAATATTGTAATTAATGTATGCATATTTTTAGAATAATATTTAATATTTTATATGAAATTTTAAGGCCGTTTCTTTTCCCCACTACATCGTCCGTTTCGTTTCCCCACCACATCAGCGCGTTTCATTTTTTTTTTAAATCACACCCATTCTAAAGAAGTTTTTTACTAGAGAAAAAAGTAAATCAATGAGATAAATGATAAAATATAATAAAATATTAACCCTTTGAACTGGTATCTCACACCGAGAGTAATCCATTTACCAACAAATTGTGATTGTTATTCTAACATAAAAATGAGATAATCGGTGAAATGTCTACTTACTCCAGGACCTACTGTGTTTCCATTGTTCGGTTCTGGAAATATTGGAGTCGGTCTTGGTCCTGGTGGTGGATATCCATTTGGTGGTCTCGTAGGGTATCTTCCTGGTGGTTTAGTTTCAGGAGTAGGATATGGTCTACTTGGTGTCGAAGGAAGATTAGGTCTCGTAGGTATTGTATTGAAGGGAGGAGTGGGTCTTGTTGGGCCAGGAAATGTTGGGGTTGGACGAGTGGGGAAGGATGTTTTTGGAAATGGTATCGGTGGTTTCTCGTATGAATAACCTTTCGTTGATTCAGGTGGTAGATAAGTATTACGTCTTGTCCCCGGTGGCAAATCGCCTATCACATTGGCTATTATTAACCAAAGTAATGTTATCTGTGAAAATTATTTTATATTATGTCATATAACAATTGTTTATATTGAAATAAATTAATTAAATATGTGTGATGATATATAATTGTTGAAATTTTCATACTTGTATTACTAGTACAAATTGTGATAATAAATGTAATACTTTAATATTATTATTATWATAATATTTAATAATGATAATTAATTGTAAACGATGAGTGTAAATAAAATGAAATGCGATAATATACTTGATAATACTTAATAAATAATAAATGTTTTTTGCGTAACATAGAACACCCATTAGTGAGAAGATCGATGCTCCACTTTCGTAATTAAAGTGAGCTATGTCATTACTGAGAACACATAAATGTGTTCCTCGATGTTGAGAATAAGACATCATTATTATCAATACAGATCTCAACTATTCTGATAACAAGTCAATACTTTATGATAATAATAGAAAACAATTGATTGTCCCAATAAAAAAAAAATATCAATTTACATAAAAGAAGTTATTGAAATGCAACAATATTTTCTTTGTATATACTTTGTTAGATAGAAATGTCAACAAGTAAGTATACCTGAAGATAATACATCTTTTGTTGCCACGACGTCGGTTTGAATTGATGATTACCTTGAAATATGATGACACGTAGGTACTGGGACAAGTATTAAACGATCCTACAGAGATAATAGTAGCAACCAATTGTTAATGACAACAACAAAAATTCAAATATTAATTAATATTGTATAGAAGAATAAGACCTTCGATAATTATTCATTCGTTTTGTAAATCTTAGAAATATTTCACCAATTGGATTCGAATCACATTATAATATTTACGAATTTCCACTTTTCTTTCACTTGAAATTTGTTCGTTTCAATTACCACCTAAAGGGGTCCACAGACTCCTCTAGCTAATGGGGTTTATATCGATATGGGGGAAAAAAAAAAAGGAAAAATTAAAATAAGTAAGATCAATCCCACATGCGTATTGATATGATTTGACCGCACTTGATTGAATTAATCCAAAAAGTAAGGAAACACTTGTTGCTATTCGAATGATGAATATCGGAGGTCTTATTCGACTTAAATAATTTAGCTTTCTCTCTCTCTCTCTCTCTCTTAATAAGATACGATGCTCTTACGGTAGGAATTCCGTTAGGTCACAGATACGATTACGATTTACACTTGTGCAATATAAGTGTATTGTTAGAGTCCGGGCACGGCTGCGAATAGAGTCAGCATATAACTGGCCGGTATGCTGGTGCATTGCGTTTATATAGCGTGGGTCTAATAAGATGTTTCTTAGACGTGATGGAAAGAGAAGAGAGGCAACAGAGGCCCACGCAAGAAGGGGCACCTCCCTTGGTTTCTACTATATACATATCTTCTTACCTTGTCTCTTAGAACCTGGTAGAGATCGGACTTGCGAGAGGGCAAGTCGTGCCGGTTGCGCTTCTGCAATCAAATGAGACAGTGGTGGTAGTTTAGGTTGCGGCCACGCCGTACGAGTGAATCTAAACCGGTGAATGGCGATCCTCTTTCAGTTGTCATATAGCTACTCAAAGGAAGCTGCATGTTGTTCGATCATAACGTAATATTTGCTTAAGAACCTCTAACGTGGTTAATGATTAACGAATAACTACTCTCTCGCAACAACAGCGAGAGCAACATCAGACAGTTCCTTTTCCAATACGAGTAGCACCTTCGTTGATTTTACTCGACACTCATCTTCGTTAATTCAGCTTCGAATTACTATATCAATATTTTACGAATCCTTATTTGCATCCTAGGATAATATCATCTTTTAACGTATCATATATACGCGGTTATTAGTTTATGTCACGTTGACGATCAATTTTCCTAGATAATATTTTCTTTAATTACATTGTATAATTGTATGATGAAAAGTAAAGATTAAGCAATATGAGATCGGGTAAAATGTTTAAAGAACCTAATCGTTTGAAATATTCATGACATACACAAAGAAAATTCTTACGATTTGTCTGAGTTAATCGAAGCATATACATACAAAATGGCATCTTTTCTTTGATGATTAAACCAAGATAATCAATTTCATTGATTGCACGAGTTATTTTAGACGCGCCTTGAAATTATTTCTCTCGATGTTATAAGATCATCGGATTAAACGATTTTCTCTTCGTCAGGTCTAACTGATATATAAAAAAAAAACAACGCGTAAAGGAAGATCTAAGACATTAAAACGCCATAGTGGAGGAGGTAGCAAATGATCGCAAATGCCTCGTCTAGAAACTCTAGAGGTATTTCTAAGCGGTCACACTTCTACATATATATATATATATATATATATATATATATATATATATATATATATATATATATATATACAACTTTATACAGAATGCTTTCATTTGCTTGAACAGATTTTTTTATGCAACTACTATCTAATTACTGCAAGAGAGTGAAATGTTGTAACGGGTTTAATGAAAAATAAATGATTTCAACGATAACATGAAAACCTAACAACATTAATTACATATTTTGATTGATACAATGTAACAAATGGATCGAGTATATAAATAAAATATAATACAATTGAAAATGTTCTAATAATTATTTTTCAAACACATGGTTAGTGGTTTCGTAGTGATCTCTTACGTCGCGTTTGCATCATTAAATCTCGTTCTCTTAGTTTCCAGTTCGACCCTTTCCCACACTATACATATACTCTAGCAAATAGTCTCCAATTCTTCTCTTCTGGAATAATCTCAGATTTTATAAGACTAAAGTCACAAGTGTATACCAGGCGTTGTTGTTGCTCTTAGAAAGGTCAACACAATAGAATGCTTGCTATACTTACACAAGCGATCCCAAAAAAAGATAAGACGATCGTTACAAGTTTCAAATGGATCTTCTCGGTCATCCTCCTCCTCCTCCTCCTCCTCCTCCTCCTCCTCCTCCTCCCTTGTTGTATCGTTTCAACGCGACATTTACACCTATTGTAATAATTCCATTACTATCTTAGGTATATACCAAAGTAGATTTGAAGTATGATTGATAAGATTTGAATGACAAGTCACTTTGGTAAGGTTGTTTCATAAAAAAAATAGATTTTTGTGATAACATCTTTTAACATAACTATCATCAAAGTTTAAAGGAAGGGATTCTTTTTTTTTACTTTTTTTTATCATCGGTTTGATTTCCAACAAAATGTAAATCAAATTCAACTGTAACTCGAAGCATTCTGATATTTGCAGGAAGGCCTTCTACGTTTACGCTTGTGGTACATGCAAAAGAAGCGTTCTTTCACGCGGATCAAAGGAGGACTTTAAAGATCAAGGTTCGTTGAAACAGATTCTATCTGATCTCAAAGTGCGTGACATTAACACCTAGCTTCTGGATGGCAAAGCTCTGAATCTGAAGAATCTTCATCGGACGTTTGAAGTATTTTACAATAATTTACATTACTTTTCTTTTTTCTTTGGATTATGTTAATAAAGAACGACGAAAAATCTTTTCTAACGCATCTGTCCTTCCTCGACGAGCGTCTTATTGTCTGGGACGTCGATCGGGACATTCATGACATTTCATTCTCTCTTCTTCGATCTTAAACTCTAAGTAAGTCGTAGGAACGTTACATGTAATTTGCATAATCCGTTATGTCTAGGGGGTAGGAGGTAAATATTCATTATTATTCTTTACCGCGATAAGTTCAAATAACGTAAACCCACAAGAGTGTTTCTTTTATTTTATTTTTTTGTTTTTTTTGTTGTTGTTGTTGTTGTTGTTTCTTTCACAAACAGATAAATTTTTGCCGTTAAAAATTTTATATGAATTTTCTTACTTTAAATATTACCGTGAAAGAATTCTTTCTCTTCTCTAAGCAAATTGCAAAATCAACTAGTAACTTAACTTAACTCGTGTATAAATAAATTAATCGTTTATAATACTGGATAAAAGTAATACGAATAACCTTATTGGTATCTTAACCTTTGTTTTACTATACAAAAGAAATAACCATCGCTAAAATTATTGGTAACTTTAACGACACACTTTATTAGCTTTTTCTCCTATTTATAATTTTATACGATTGGCCAATAAGTAATACCAATATATATATAAAAAAAATTAAACCTTTCCGTATATTCTAAATTGAAATAATTTCAATGTTCAAATAAAAACTAGAAATGTTTAATTAAAAGTTATGATAATTCTATAACATGTAAATATATTTCATTAGTTTCATTTATTATCTTGTATTATTTTAAAGTCGCAAAATTATACGAACGTCCTTAATAATCTTATTTCCCATCCTTTCTCTCCCATTGCACCCATTATTCGAAGCGTTCGTGACATTTCGTTCTCGTAACCTTAAAGTCTCCGCTCCAAGATCGTAGTACGTCTCTTGCGTGGCCCCTATTATGTAAGTGGTTGGTCTAAATACGAGGAAAAGAGATGCACCGATCTTAAGAAGAGGTGCTCTCGCCTAGACATTCGAAAGGAACATACGCTATCCCCATGACTGTGACGTAATACATGCTAGAGTTCTTGCTATCATTTTGCTTTAAGTCCTAATTTCGTTTCCCCTAATTTCTTAACGCAATTGTCTCTACATTAAAACATGTGTGTTTTACATCCATTTACAAAAAAAAAAAAAATATATTTATCGCAATACATCAATATTGACACACAAGTATCTATCAATTATACAAATGGTAGTAATACAACTTTTATCAAATAGTTGCATCAACTTTGCAAAGTATTCAAACCTAGAGAAAATAATGATCATCATTATCGAACAATTTTATTACAAATTTCACTATTTTTTGACAATCATGGGGGTACGTTGCAAAAGCTAACTTACATTAAAAGTTGACGCAAATAATAAACACGATATGAGAAATATTTCTCATCATTTTTCTCTCGATACTTAATAAGAGACCGACCAATCATTATTTTCTATTTACGATACTAAAGCACACTTCGTAACACCTTTTTTACAAAATTCATAACATTTTTCAAGTGTGTATATATATAGATATATATATATATATATATACGAATATTTTATATCGAACTGTTAGTAATATTCTCTTGCATCATTTTCTAAGGAATCATTTCGTTAGATATAATATGAAACGTGAACATAAATTACGGCTAATGCGTTTCAAATCATTTATTCCATAGATCATTTCGCTTCGTCATATTACCTCTTTTCGCATCTTCTTCCATTTCTTACTAGTCGTCGAACTCATCATCAATTTTCATCCATTCGTTACCACGTATTACCGTATACATACATATATATATATATATATATATATCTGTATTACATATTTTCAAACGATTATCCTTTCTGTTATATTTATTTAACAAGAATTTTTGCAATTACGCAAAAGAGGAGTTACAATGAAAATAAAATGATTAGAAAAATATCAAATTGAAAATAAAAATTGTTCCTAGTAAGTAAACATAGATTTAACAATGTCTATATCATTTGAATAAATTTAACATATTTATTTATTTATTTATTTATTCTCAATCATGTAAGAATTATTATTCGCTCCTATAAAGTTTCTTTTTTTTTTAGCATTAAGTATTATCGTAATGCTAAAATCGTTTTAATACCCGACGTGTTAGATCACGTAGCAATGTTCTTTATTGCTGATCGTGGGGTGTGAAACAAAGGTCTCGCATAGACTATTCGTCGTTAGAATACAAATCTGAAATAACTAAACTTGTTTTATTGTTAAAGTGTGATAGAAATTTGACCTTATTATATCTTCATTTTCTATATACCATACTATATACGTTAAAATGACATATATTTCATTTGAGGAAGTCATACAATTGACGTTTTACGTTGTTACACACAAGAAAAGTATTTTACATTAACCATAATGATGGATTCTTTTACAGTACCTTCAGAATGTATATTTACTGTTTGACGCACTGTTTGTTTTGTTTATTGTTAACGTAATACCCATCCGGAAAAATATGCGTTAATGTAGACAATAATTCTTGTCAGGAATTATCAAATAAGGAATCAACTTTGAAACGTTTTTTGCTTATCCTTTGAAATTGGAAGAAGAAGAAGAAGAAGAAGAAAAAAAAGTCAATAAGTCGGATTGATATCTAAGAATAATAAACCGATGTGTAAGAAGAATATATAATTCGTGAGTCTGTATCATATTTTAACAGTAAGAAGAGAGGAAGAGGCCAAGTGGAACGTAGAATTCGCACGGCCGTGCGAATCATTTTATCGAATTCAATGGAAGGTTATGAATATCCGATCTTCTGTCGAAGCTTCACGCGTGGTCATACAGCCAAGAAACCGCCTTCTTCTAAGCCGACAACACCATGATGCCTTTGTCTGCCGCTTCATGTAACTAGGTATTCCCTCGGTCACGATGAAAGTGAAAACTTCGCTCTGTTCGTAGATGACCTACTCTTTGCCAAGAATCTGGGTGCCCCATCACACCGTGGCATTACGCGCTCTCTGGTCGTCATGTGCGGCTCCACACTCGTTCCCAACTGCCTCCTCCAATCATTGGCATCCTCCCAACTTTAATATTTTATGCTTTTCTTTTTATCTTACACCTAATTAAATAATATAACAGATAAACAATACTTTTCTTATATATCATATTCAACACTTAACCATTTGAGACCACTTGCAATCATCATATGTGTGCAATCATACTAAACGATTATTTTGTAATAAAGATAAGACTTTATTTTGTATAAATAGTATCTTTAAGGTATAGAATAAACAAAATGTGACATTACTAAATTGGTAATATAATAATAAGAAAAGAAATGGTTCCTAAGTACCATGTTTCAAAAAAGTGGTCTTGAATAGGTTAGAATGATACTCCTCCGTTTCTATTTTCTTCCCTTACTTTACTTTAATTTTCCTAGGAGGATCGTTAAATCGATCGAGTAATACTACTGACAATGAAGTAGTAAAGAGTCGTGCGGGATGATTCAGTGCTGTAGCACCGATAGCCAGTCGAGCGGGACTCATTATTTCAACCATAACTATCAACAAGTGTTAAACTACAATCTCGATCATAGTAGCGACGTTTCATTATACCATAGAAAAAAATATATGAATGCTTCTTAAAGGATGTATCTCTCTTATAATTAACTGGGTAGAAAAAGTCCAACATTTTTTTCACTACTCTGCTGTAACGAATATAATGAACATTTTATGATAGTTTTACTTTCAATAAAGATAGGTTATGATAATGCAATACTTATGTATGATACTTGGTATGTTTTCTTGCATACCTGGTGTTTTCCAAACGTTACGACAAACCACGGAAATGTTTTGTTAGTCTGTTCTCATGACAGATCACTCTCTAACCAATTTCAAGCTGAGATGTGCAATAATTGAGATTTTGCAATGGTGAAGAATGTTTGAATAAAATACCGAGTTAATTATATATTTTACTTGTTTATTTTTATGTATATATCTTATTTTATTGTTTTTATATATATTTTATTTTATTTTTTATATATATAATACTCAAAACACAATATTAATTGGATGTTATCGGCAGATGTTCAATCTGTCTAAAACCACGGCAGTCAACTGTTACTATTTAAAAATGTAATGTTTTTAGAACTATTTTTGAAAACGGACCAAATTAATTTGTACTCCCAATATATTTTATATATTTATTTTCTATTTTTATATTTTATTTTATTTATTTTAATTTAATTAAATTTCATTAACAACACTTTTATGATTCGTTCAATTCTATAAAAAAAAATTCGTTAATCTATTTCAAATGATCCAAATTAAAAACTGTAAATAAAATGAAATTTAATTATATATATATATATAAAAAAAAAAATTAAATATAAAAATTATATATTATAAAATATTATTTAATTAAATTCAAATAAATTCTTACTCAAAGATCAAACACGTAACGTGTTTCTTCTACCCCGTCCAAAATAAAAATGACAATAAATATGAATATGTAGAAGTTACCTTTCCTATCTTAATTACCTTATTAGATAGTTTCAAAATGTTTTTCTATGTATACTCGATAAACGAGTAATTTTCGTAGAATTTATCTGTAATATATATTCCTCGTTTAACTTTGACCCTAACCTTCACCTATCTTTCTCTCTCTCTCCCTCTCTCTCTCTACACTCAATTAAATAAGCACATTATAAAAGTTTCTTTTTTTACCTGTGCCTGATCTTTGTATTTCTAAAATTACAAAAGTTGAATATTTTGATATCCTTCCAAAAGTAGTTTCACTAGAAAATAACATGAATTAAAAGTTAAGAATTATATATATATAGATCCGTATTAAAGAATGTCTTCTTTATTTGACTTGACCCTCAAAAGTTGAGTAAGAAATTCAAGTCTTTGTCCTCCCACGCATCAACTAACAACACGGTATATAATATGTATATAATATATACCTATATATATATTGTGTAAATACATACACATATTCATAAATACTGTCTCTACTTTATGAGCTTCTTGCAGGAACGAATAACCCACACAGAAATGAAAGAAAAGAATGATAGTTGCGGTTTACCGAGAAGAACGGTAACCATCATTTAGATCCATACCAACACTTTACTTGCAATGCGATGATAATCCCCGTCACTTTTCATTCTGACGAGTTGAAATAGAATGGACCAGCCATATCTCATCGACGAAAAAATCTGGTCAACTCGAGTTAGCAGATATGTCTTCATCAACTGTCCAGTTAGTTTGATTAATTTTGTTGATACATATGTTTTGTTTTTATATAACATTCGTATAACAAATTTTGGTACTTTCATTTTGAATTGTATTATATATAAAAAAAAAAAAAACAATAAACATATGAATACAAAAGATGCATCACAATTCATTGTTACATGAAAGGATCCAATTGAAAGGTAAAAATTCACCTTGATCCTTTACCGCAATTTCTCAATAGACGTAAGTAACATTAACTTGATGTGTTTATGTCATTGTTATGTAACTCTTAACGCATAGAAAATAAGAAGAAGAAGAAGAAGAAAAAAAATTGATCCTCTCAGGTTGATATACCTTCATGATAAGTTGAGCCTATCGAGATCAACAATGTGCTATAATATCTTGTAACAAAGTTTTGTATGTACCGAATGAATCGAATGAAATATCTAATTATTCCCATCGCTTATGAAGAAATCAAGGGGAACTTACATTTCGTCATAACGAACAAAGAACGCAACGAACGGGACGTCCGGTAAATTTTTACGAGATCGCATCTGCTATTAATACACAGTGGGATAATGCCGATTGCATAAATAACATGCAAAGTAGTTACAACATTTTCTATATTTCTTATTAAGTATTTTTTTTTTTTTTTTAGGTACACAGGATCATCCAGATGAATAATAGAAAATATTGAAATATATATCAAACTAGGGATGCCCCGGCACGCGTTGCTGTGGCTCACAATTAATCCGATACACACGTCTTTAAGTCAACGAATTACCTTATAATATTGCGATTATAAATTGAGATATAAACTATCCTATCTTTCAAGTTAAATGAAACTGCACACAGTGTGAAAAATTTGATTAAAATCGGTTCAGTAGTTTAGGTGTTCATTGCGGACAAACAACGTGACACGTAATTTATATATATATTAAGATAAGATATAAACGATTTGATATGACGACTGATCGTTAACGTTAAAAATAACTCGCATAACTAACTGGTCTCTTCTAAAAGATCTTACATTAGTAGCTGCTGTTAATGCCTACGATGTGTGATTATCGAATCACTATAGACGCATAATCGCAAAGTTAAACAATAGAATGTAATTCCAATCGATTGTTCGACCTTTCAACGAGTAGAACTCGATGTGAATAAAAAAAAAAAGTTCGTTTACGATCGATTTACATAGAAAGAAATTTTGAAAATGAATATACAAAATACTTTCATATAAATGCTACCAATTAAACGATCATTATCCTTACGAGGTTATATTTATTTAACGAGTTTATCTTATCTATTATTTTTATTTGTATAATAAAATCTAGAATTTTTTTTTATTGGTATCGTCTTTATTTATTCATTACGAGGAATGCTTATACTACGATCGATAATTACAACCACGTACAACGCCTACTAAAAAACCTGATTGGCATCTCGCAATTTATACTCTCTCTCTCTCTCTCTCTCTCTCTTTCTCTCCCTTTTGATGATGCCAGTGTGATTACAGTTATACATATTATACAGTGTGTTTCAAGATAATTATTCCTCATATATTCATTGTCACATATATAAAAGGATATTTTCAACACATTGATCACTGTATAAAAATTGGAATGTTCAAAAGACACATTTGTGTATCCAACGCAATGATCTATCACAATGATTTATATTCTTTGTATTATTGATCATTTTGGTATGTGAATCTTTCTGCCAATAGGAAAAAGTACATGTGAATATTCAATTACAAGACTTGGGCATTACCTTGTCGATCCAACCAATGAAACTCAACTGCAAATAAGGTTTCAAAAGATAAACCTTAGCACCCCTCTACACGTCACTGTTTCCACTAATAAGAACACACCTTTTGCTATAAGCCACGCCTATTTTCTTCCCTTCAACATCCCACATACTTTTCTCTCGTCAATACTTGATCTGGTGTTCTGGTAAAAAAATTGTCGAGACTAGTCAATGTGTTTTGAATTGTCAATTGAAATGAGACAAAAACGATGACATGATTTATTTAATCTTTCAACAGAAAAGAAATGAAATCTTTCTCTTAATTTTATAAACATTTTACAACTTTTTGTTTTTTCATAATCTTACTGTAAATAGAAACTTCTTCTGATGATCCTAATGATCTTTTTCGATATTAGAAAACAACAAATGATGAAATTTAACACTAGATATACCACCATTTTTAATATTTCTACCACACTAGTCAAAATGACTGATGTGGTGTATACAAAAAAATGCTTTTTGAGGCTTCCAGTCTTTTTATTTATTCTTCAAAAAATAACAAACAATATTTAACAATAATAATTTTAACAGATAAATGAATTTATAGACATTTAAAAATTATTTACAGAACTCAAATGTTACATGAAGTAGAAATTTTGAATTAAAATGGCCCCCGCCCCCCACCCGACCATGACTGATCTGGTATATCTAATGTTAATCTATTCTATACATTTGCACTTAAGCATTGTGTAATTTATTATATTTTCATGATAGAATTGTAAAAAAGAAACAATAATTCAATATCAATTAGCAGACATATAAATGATTATCTGACGCAAATAATAATTACGTTATAAGATACGTTATAGATAATGACAAGAATATCGATAAACCGTAAAGTAGAATGTATATATTACACGAGGGTGTCAGTTCGAATATTAGTTTACAATAGTTAAGACAAAAACGTCGTCGAGTTAAACGTTAAAACGATGACTAAAAGTCTCAACGATGCGTTTTTTCCTTTGTTAATTACAAGTTCCATATTGGGATTAACTGTTCTTGAATGGCCAATGAGTAAAATAATAACATACGTTAATATTTTATATATCATTTTGTTATGGATCGTTTATTTTATCTCTGTCAAATATTTAGCTATTTATGAAAGTTTTAGTAATTATTATAAAAATGGTCCATCAGTTATTAGTCTTTATTTCATTGAAGTCACGACAATTGCATCTGTGTTATCTTACCTGTATAACAGTAAAGTATGATATCATTTCTGTAAATTTGCAACCCCCCCCCTATAATGTTATGTCACTTGAAAATCATATACTTTAAATATATGCAATATTTTCTTTTGATCTTTTTTAAGAATCTTGTAAAATGTTTGAAGAAGATGTCCGTGTTGGATGATACTTTGAAAGAGCTTGGTTTTCAAATGGAATATACGAAAATACGAAAATTAATGATACTCGTTGTTGTTGGATGGTTCATATCAACTATCTTATTGAACACTTGTGATATAATATTATCTTCGATATACGGTATTCTCCCAATTATTATATTATGTGTAACTAATCATACTGTTCATATCAACACAATTTTGGATCTTTCATTCATCATTTTTTTATTGTACGTATATTACATATTATATAATAAATGAAAATATTATATTGTTAATTGTTTAACATGATATTTAAAATGCAGGTATCAAAGAAATAGATTTCGTAAATTAAATGAATATATAATTCAACGTTGTCAGGTTAAAGATCGCACGAGAAATATGTTTGAAGATCATATGACTAATACGACATATTGTTCTAACGTAATGAAAACAAATTTGGAGGATTACGATATTTGGATATCAATGTAGAGTAATATATAAAATTAAATTTATATCAAATATATATATATAAAATTAATGATTATTTTTCTACAGGCATATTCATCTGGAATTAAGTAGGATTTGTAATAATCTCAATACAATATTTGAAATACCAATGTTATTAGAGATGATATCTTTCTTTATTTCTGGTATAGCCTTAATTGGTGAATTGTATGCAACACTTACCAATTCAGATCCTTTGGATGATAAAATAGGAATTGTCTTAAATCTTCTTATATGGAATTCATTTTATTTCATGAAATTATATGTTATCAACTATACATGCGAAATAGTCAAAGTTGAGGTAATTATAAAATATAAAACACTTAATATAAATGCATATATATTACAAAAGAATAAATATATATATATATATAAATAAACATAAAATCTATTTAATTGAATAAATTATTGATAATAACAGGCAAACAGAACACAAATACTTACTCAAAAAGTAATGGATTATCTTTGTTTAAAGATACGTGCCGAGGTAAGTTTTATTTATTTGTAATTAAAAATATTTTTTGTTTATATCTGATATAAAGAAATATTTGTAAACAATTAAGCTTATTGTTAAATATTTCTCTTTTTTTTTTTTTGATACTTTTATTATAATATTTAAATTATATTCTTTTGAAGGTTTTTCAATTTATATCCGAAATAAATTATAAACGAGTGAACTTTTCCGCATTTGGTTTTTACGAATACGGTTATACTTTTATTCATCAGGTATKTRTYWTCAAAWWAWWAAAWWWAWAAWMAWGAAATAATTCTTTTTCTAATTATAGTTTTGTGGAGCAATTACGACATATTTGATAATCTTACTGCAAGTAGAAACTACTCCTAATAATTTTAATAACACTACATCTATTGTCAATTTTAAAATGTAAAAAAAAAAAAAATTACATTTTTCTTACCAAAAACATTCCGCATTTGTTTAAGTATTACGTATTACTTAAATTCATTGATTCTAATTTACGCTTTTTCTCGTAATGTTTGATCTTATTTTCTAAACTTTCTGTAAATATTATTTTACACAAAATATTATATAATAAAATTTAAAATGATAAAATATATATATATATATATATAAATTACTCACCGCAAGTAATTCTTTCCATTAAAGGTTGATAAACTTTAGAATTAACGCCAAGTAGTAAAAAATTATCTTGAAACGTTGTATCTGAACAATTTTGAATATTTTTTAAATCCATTAGCATGTCTTTGATCATCGTCGATCTGTTTAAATGAAAATATTAAATGACGACAATTATCAAATATATTTTCTATTAATAATAATAAACTAAATATAAAATATATGTCATACTTTACAGCATTTATTGACCAATCTTTTTGTAAAATTTTGATAACGTTAATAAGGTCATTTTCGTCGTAATACCATTTGATATTTTCATATTCGGAATGATAAAGATTTAATGGAATTTCACAAGCTAGATTATATTGTGGTTTACAAGGATTATTATCGATATCAAGTAATTTCAAAATAATTTCTGGTTTTTCTTTTTCTTGTCCTACTAATAATAATACTCCCATTAAACAACGTATCTGATGCCAAAGGAAAGCATGACTTGTTATTTTTAATTCGCACATGTCGTATCCTATTTAAATAAATATGAAATTAAAAACGTATAAGACCCTTTTAAAATATGTACCTTATATAATAATTATATTAATTAAATGTAGTACTGCATACCCGAATTTTGCGTATTATCATTTTGTTTTACCGAAACTGTAGCATCAATTATTCTTCTTTCAAAATTGACTACGCCATTAGCAACATCCATTTTACAAATATTACGAAAATCATGTAATCCTATAGTATATTTAGCTGCTTTATTCATAGCATCGATATTTAATTTTCCACGAGGAAAAATATATTTATACGTTCTAGTTTTACAATCAAATCTAGCGGAAAAATCACTAGGAACTGGACACCAAGCTATGCATTTTATATTTTGAGGAAGTAAACGATTTAATATTTTACAATAAGGCAATTCATTTTGTAAATCATTTTGTTTATCTGGTTCTAATTTGCTACGTATGTCTAAACTAATAACTTGTGAGAAAGCACTGACACCTTTGTCTGTTCTACCACAACGATGATAATTTGATTTTTCACGAGATTCTATGAGACAACTTTTAATTAAAGAATAAAATAAATAATCTTCAACGGTATTATTACTTCCTTCTTGACATATAAAACCATCATAATCCCAGCCTAAGTAATAAAATTTTAATAAAATATGCCTTTTATGACACCTAAAATCAATTCATTTAATTCAATATTTAAAATGTTCATTTAAATAAGACAAATTTGACATCATAGCATACTTTGTAAAATCAAACTGCTTTTTAGACGTATTAATACATTTAGTTGACTCCATTTGTTTAGTCTCATTTTTTCTAAGTATCGTTTGGAGTTGCGTATTGTAAGCTTCTAATCGTAATATTTTATCTATCAATTCCTAAAATAATACAAAATGTTTACCTTAAGGTATAATAAGTAAAATTTTTGGAAATCTAACAAAAAAAACAACAAATTATACCGATTTATCAGAAAGCTCCAATTCTTCTTTAGTAGATAACCTCTTTAATTTTGTTTTTTTCTTAATAACTTTTGCCATAATTATAATAACACATGCATATGTCAATCACTAAAAAGTGAGGTTAAATTGTTTTTCTTTTCAATATCTATAACAGTTAACTATTTCATTCATTTCGAGTAAATTAATTAAAATGACAACTTCCTATTATTTTAATAATTAGAACTATTTATATTATATGTAATTCCATACATTCTGTTACACGTCTTATAATAAAAATATAAATCACAAACACACATGCAACCACTGCAAATAGAAGAATGCAACTACCGGTACCGCACCAGTTACGACAGTAGCTCCCTCTACCTCCTACGTAACGAGTAAAAAAGGCGCGCAATTCAAATGCCCGATTGTAGAAGAACAAATAAATAAAAACAAAAATCGATTTTACCAATCGTTTTATACATTTCTTTTAAAATGAACGGTAATATAATTATTTATTACATCGTTTACGAAAAATTACATTATTCTTTCTATTTACAATTGTCAAAAATACTGTTCCAAAGATTTTTGCAACTATTTCAAGTATAAAGACCCTACTTCTTTGATATCTAGGATCTTATTTTTTTTCTACGTTATCGCATGTCACACTAAGAAATGCATATACGTCAAATCAGTCTTACGTCAACTCTTTTCACAGTGCAGTAATATTTTGAAATAATGAATAGATGAAACTGTTTCACTAATATATAATATAAAAAGAAGAGTATTTAGGTGAATCTGTGTAAAATGGTGGCAGACGAGAAATTGTTTTTTTCAAAAGCTGTACAACATTTGGCTAGATGTCTTGCTGCTATTAAACCTACACCATGGGAAAAGGTACATTTATTATTTTGTCATAAGTTTTACAATATCCTTTTATATATAATTTGTTCTTTACAAATAAACATCATTAAATAATACTGAAATGATATTTACTTAAAAAAAATAAATAAATAAATAAAAACTTAAACGTACAATCAAATAATTCATATTACAAATTTATGTAGAATTTTGTATTATTTTTATTACATAATAATAAAATGAATTTATGAATCAATTTTTAATTTAACATTTATCTTAAAATAATCTCCTTTCTAATACAATTATCTATTCATGTAAATTGACATACACAATTGAATATTTGAAGCTGTTATTATCCTGTGACATAATATGAAACAATATTAATAAAAAAATATTCAAAACACCTACAGTGAGAAGTATAATGATTGATTACAGTGTAATGTTTATTTTTAGATTTTTCTTTTCTTTCTCATGTTATAATAATCAAGCAACAAAAAAGAAATAAAATGATAGATGTGTCTGATCGAAGAACTGTTATTATTACTTCTTACTGTACACGTTATTATTAATATCATTCCTTAATTAATGTAGCTTGTTTTAGTAACATTATATAATCTATTATTATGAAGTGACCATGTACTTTTTTTTTACAATAAATAAAAACCAATCAGTATACTTATTAGAATTGTACAAAAAAAAATCTTACATAAAGTTACATATAAATAAAAATGTATGTTGAAACAGGTAACTCGTTTATTCAAATTATGTCCACAAGAAACTGCTCAAGGAATATATCGTCTGGATCAACGTGGACAAGATGCAACTATCGCATTGGGAATATATTTTCTGGAATCAGGATTACAACATCGGGATCGTATTTTACCATATTTTTTACGATTGTTACGTGGTCTTCCAAAAGCTGTTTGGTTGGATGAAGTTAGAGTTTCACCCAGCGAAAGAGTTCCTGTTGCTGAACGTTTTAGTTTTTGTTTGAATACATTATTAAGCGATATTGCTGCAAGATGTGAATCAGCACGTGAGGAAATTATTTCTACACAAATTGAGATATTAGCAGTTTTGACAAATCTGATACGTGGTTATAAAGAACAAAATGGAAATAGGGGTATGCAAGCAAAATGTAAGATTTCTTCAAACAAATGTACTTACTTATACATTCATTGTTTACAAAAATATATGTTAATCATTTTTTGTGTATAGTGTCCTTATGCAAATCTCTAGTTCCTGTACTTATCGGACTGGCAAGATCTATGGGTCGTTTCGCATGTACAGATCCACCATTGCTCTGTCGTATCTTTCCACGGCCAGAAACTCCAGTTTCTTTTACAAATACAGAAACACGTTTAACATCGGATAAAAAACAACATAGCTTCTCAAATTTTCGTCCAATTATTCCACGATCTTTAAGTGGAAATCTAAATCCTTATCCACCAATCGATAATACACCAGCATTGCTAACGGCTGATTCTGATTATTCAACTATCAAGAGACCATCGTTACAATCTTTTTCATCTGTACCGTATGATCCAGTTACATACTTTTTCAGTAGATATGGATCAAGCTTTAATCAATTTCCACAAATGCGATGTAATGAAAGTCCTGAAAAAAGGGCTGCAATGCAATTTAATGTTGTACATTTACAAAGTGTCCTAGCATTAGCTAAAAAGCTACTTACTAAAGATATTCTTAACTTTCTCGACGAAGAAGCACAACAAGTTAATATCTTAATGTTATTTTAATCATTTACAAATTTATTTCATCATTTATTATTCTAAATTATTCAATAGGTTTATAATTCTGGTCAAGTACAAATATTTCCATATCGTACATTCAGCGAAACTATGAATCTGGTTATGGTAGCGGTGTTACGAGAATTATTACAAAATCAACGTGATTTACCTGCTCCATTTACAAGAGATGTACAAGAATTTGTTAAAGGCCTTTTTCTATCGGGACAGACAGAACTACAATCTAGACAACACGATGCTAGTGAGAGAGAAGATGTAGATACTAATTTTCGTACAGTAAATAGATTCAAAGTTAACGTCATGGCAAATTCTGCATGCGTTGATCTTCTTGTTTGGGCCATTGGAGATGAAACTGGTATGTTAATAATTGTTTATATATATTTATATATATGTCAGCTTTAAATTGTATAATTCTGTTAAGTCGTGGAAAACCCTAAGTCTTATCCGAAATAACTAAACGTTTTTGGGAAAACACATTAAAAGAAATTGTCTTCCTTTTCTTAATAGTTATTTCAGGATTTAGGTAATCATTTCACGAATTAACGAATTTCGCAAAGTAATGCCAACATATGTATTTATAATTTATGGTAACTACAAATTACTAATAACAGGAATGTATTATAATGTCTTGTACACATATGAATGCATGTTAAAAAGCATATATGTATATTAAAAGCTTTACTGTAAAAAGTCATTAGCATTCAAATGTAATGTGCTCGTGTATATCAGAGATGTGCAATGTTTTTATCAAAAAATAATTAATTTTCTCTATACTTTTACAGTATTATTTAATTGTATAATTTACATGAACAATATACATAAAAATACATCTTTTATTTGTAGACAAAACACAATAAGATCATGGCACAATCAAGAAGAAATAAAAGAAAAAAATGGAAAAATGAAGTTTGCAAGTCTCTGATGTATATATTATTGCACTTTCTTCTTACTTTTAAAGTAAATTTCAATGAATTTAGTTAAAATTTAATAAAAATTAAAAAAAAAGTATTAATTATTAGGACATAATTCAAGCACTATATATAATTATAAAAAAAAGAAAAATATTGTAAGTAAAACATTATTATACGGTGTTTTTGCAGTGAACGGGGAGTATGATACATCCGCGCTGTTCGCGGATATCAGTTCTATGCTGCTCGGCGAGGGTATTCTTGTTTACCCCTTTGTGTTATTATTTTATTAACTATTCTATATACCAGATAACATTTTATCATAAACCAATTTTAATATTGACATTACCTGCCGCAGCAATACTATATTGCGGTACTCCTTTATTTTGCCTATTATTTTTGTGTGCAATATAATCAATTTGTTTTATGTGTTCGCATACACGAATATAATATTTCATTACAATTAAAGAATATTTTTTTGATATATATATATATATATATTTTATCAAAGTTCATAATATCAAATATTGCTTGACTAAAAATATTTTCTGAATGAAATTTCATATGATCATTTCAAATAATCATTTGAATAATGTTTAGAAAAAAAAAAACACATTTTTTTTTGTATTTAATCTTACACCTATCCATAAATATGTCATATAGAAATGACTAATAAATATTTAGAATAAAAATATGATACGAGAAAAATAATTAAACAAAGAATATTATTATTATTACTTTTGTTTACAGGTGCTGATAGTCTGTGTGGTCGTCTTGTTGAAAAAATTAATTCCAATCATGGTCCAAAACTTGTATTAGCACACATGCCCTTATTATTGGTATGCTTAGAAGGTTTAGGAAAATTAGCTCAAAAGTTTCCTAATATTGCAAGTACTTCTATATATTATCTTCGTGAATTTCTAATTGTTCCTTCACCAATATTATTAAAATTATATCGTCAACTAAATGAAAGATCTATAAAGGAACATCATTTTAAAGTTACCGGTAAGAACACACAATTAAATTTTTAAAACATAATATTACATTTCTAATTTAACTTGTTTAAAAATTATTATCATTGTTTTTTTGATTAATACTTATTATACAAAGTACAAGGAAAAGAAGTACAAGATTCCAAACAGACAACATCATCCGTTCAAATTGCTTTTGAAAAATTACGTGATGCAGCAATTGGCAATCTTTGTATAGCTTTGGAAGCAGCACATTCTGTTAATCCAGATTGTGTACCAGCACTAGTGGCTAGTGTATCTAATAGATTGTTTGCAGCAGACATATGTGATGGGTATGTAGAATTTTGATTTTAATTCATTTCCATACAATCTTACATATATAAATAAGGGGTGTCCCGTCACGCGTTGCTGTGGCTCACAATCAGTCCGATACACACGTCTTTAAGTCAACGAATTACCTAATATTGCAATTATAAATTGAGATATAAACTATCCTATCTTTCAAGTTGGATGAAACTGCACACAGTGTACAAAATTTGATTAAAATCGGTTCAGTAGTTTAAGTGTCCATTGCTGACAAATCAACGTGACACGTAATTTATATATATATTAAGAAGATAATTGTTTTGTTTCAGAGAATCTGATGAAAAATCAAATAGCGAGTTAATCTCCAAAAATATTGTTATTATGTTAGGACACGTAGCTGTTGCTTTAAAAGATACTCCAAAAACAATGCGTACAATATTTCCATTTTTCCATCAACTATTTTGTCGTTCACCAAGTGATCTGGATTTTTTGATCGTGGATCAATTAGGTTGCATGATTATTGCTAAATGTGAAGCGCAGGTTTGATTTCAATAGAATTTATTAATGTAAGATATATCTTGAAATATTTATTGTTATTATTAAAAGATTATTTTGTAAAAAAAAAAAAAAATAGATTTACGAGGGAATAATGCAAATGTTTTCAATGTCATTGGGATCAAGTACTGCAACTTATGCATCAAATGACGATAGAAAACAATACTGTCATGTTTCTAAAGCAGTAACAAATGCTCTTGCTAACATAGCAGCTAATTTACAAGGAGAAACAGAATTAAATGACTTGCTTCTTCATCTTTTAGAACTTTTTGTTCAATTAGGTTTAGAAGGTAAACGTGCCAGCGATAAAGTCCAAAATAGTATTGCTACAACGGTAATGAATATTAATTGCTACATTTAATTAAAATTCACTACACATATATACAATAATATCTATTTTATTAATACTGCAGAAGACAACAAATAGTGCTGGAAATTTAGGAGTACTAATTCCTGTTATTGCCATATTATTACGACGTTTACCACCAATTAGGCATCCACAAAAAAGACTTCTAAAGCTTTTCAAAGATTTCTGGGTCTATTGCGTTGTAATGGGATTTGCTTCTGATCAGCAATCAAAAATATGGCCCATTGAATGGTATGATGGTGTCAAAGAGATAGCTGTTAAATCACCTTATCTTATTTCACCAACTAGTGCACGTCTTGAGATGCGAGAACTGCAGTATACTTCAGCAGTACGCAATGACAGTGTTTCGTTAACTGAACTTCAAGAATTACGTAGCCAAATATTAAAATTAAGCAGCCGGTAAATTTATTATTATAAATATAACATCGTGCATTATATATTCGTATGATAAGAATTTGATGTATTTGATTTACTTTTCTAATAGGTCCAATGATATATCAGCATATGTAGCAAAATTACAGTTTGCTCAGTGTACATATTTATTATCAGTGTATTGGCTGGAAACCTTAAGGGTTGCAAATAGTCCAGAACCTAGTTTACATCCAATAATGGAATATTTATGTGATACTGATTTGCAAAAAGATAAAAGTGGTATGTGGCAGTGTATATGTTGCATTGCTGATTCTGTCTTTGTTAGATTTAAAGATGTCATGCAACGCAAACCAAAGGATGAACAACGTGAAAAAGAATTAGAAAATCACGCTCAATTCTTATTAGTATATTTTAATCATGTACATAAACAAATTCGACGTGTGGCAGATAAATATCTCAGTGCATTAGTAGATGCATTTCCACATTTATTATGGAATTGTAAAGTATTATGGAGTATGTTGGATATATTACAGGTATCTTCTATCATATGATTGTCATTTAAGTATAAGCAACGTTGTTTCAAAAATTATTTATACTTTTATGTTAACAGATTTTATCATTTTCTTTACAAATTGATCCAAATGAGGAAACACCTAGTTTACGTATACCTAATACACCTTACAGCATTGAACTTATGAATAGTCTTGAAGCAAGAGAGGTATTATAATACAATTATAATTCTTTAAATATCATTAATAAATGTGGAAAAGCATTCTTTAATAAAACAGTATATAATGTAGATTATTGTAAAAGACTTTACGGCAAGATGTAAAGGTATAGTACAAGAAGCAATGAAGTGGGCTCCTCAAGCTACAAGATCACATGTACAAGAATATATAAATCAAATACCATCTTCTGGTATGTGGCATCATTCTGGATTATCTTTAGCAACAGATTCGGTTCTTGAATTTGTAGATTTAACAGTTCCAACAGCTCTTCCATCAAGCGTATGTATTTTTGTTATATATCTACAGTTGATAGATTTATTTTGAATAAATTAATAAAATTAATATATTATAGACAAATTCATTGGATAAAAGACCTCGTGGTCCTAAAGGTGCAAGTTCATGGCTTTTTTCAATGATGGCAATGCGTTTATGGCATGCCGGTGAAGTAGCAGGTATGGTTGCACTTGCTCGTTCAGAATTTCCGACAAATAAAATGTCAATAGAAGAATCTAGAGTAGCAGTTGTACAACAACTTATTGATGCTGTTTGGAGTGCTTGTCGTGAATCTAATGATCTTCAACATCGTGGTGCTCTTTGGCGTGCTACTGCTCTTTTAATATCCATGCCAGGTATAATTTTTTAATATATATATAAATATGATACATTACATTATAAATAATTATTATATTTAATTATCTATATTGTCAGGAATACACAGAAGACTTTTGCAAACTGTTGCCTGCTCTCAGGTTGAATTATTTACAAGTGCAGCAATGACTACTGCTGTTGAATGTTGGCAATGGATTCTTACTGTACGACCTGATCTTAAATTACGTTTCTTACAAGAGATGCTTGTCGCGTGGCAATACACTGTTGATAAGAAAATGGGATTATTTTCTGCTGAAGAAGAAGAAGTAAGTCCATTAGCAGTTTATGAAGGTTGTAAATTAGAACCTAATCCACCAGACGTAAAACCTCATGATATTTGGATATCATTTATCATGGAATTAATTGAAACTGCAAAATACTGTTGTCAAGAAACGGTGGATATGATAGTAATGTTGCTTCATCGATCATTACCAATGTCTGTTGGTGCATTTGGTGAAGAACCTACAATAAACAGGCATGTAGCTGCAGTAGGAGTACGTTTCAAATTGTTATCTTGTGGTTTACTTCTCCTTCAAGGTGATATTTTACCAAGGTATAATTATATATTCATTATATTCATTTAAATGAAGAAAAAAGTAAGATTAAATTTTAATCAAAAAATAATTCTATTACAGATCACTAAGTAAAAATGTTCTAAGAGAACGTGTTTATTCTAATTGTTTAGATTATTTTTGTCGAGAACGACAAGTACCTACTCAAGAACTCGAACAACTTCGTGAAGATATAGTTACACTAATACGTTTTTGGCAGGCATGTAAATATATACACTGTACAAATGTTAAATGTATTACAAATTGTTTATGTTTTATATTACTTTTATATACAGGTAATGCACAGTGATAAAAAATATTTGATGATGACTGGAAATGAAAATGATTTTGATTTAACAATACAACCTCAAGTGTATACAGCAAGTGTACTTGTAACGAGTGAAACAATCAATTCGATAACTGCAACATTAAGTCCAGCTAATAATGATTATTCAAAAACACCTACCAGTGTGTGGGTTAATGCTATGCCAATGTCAACCAGTAGTAATACATTGAGCAAACGTAGTAATCGAAGTAAACGTGTCGTCAATACCAATGTTTTTGTCAAAGATTATATTAAAAAGCGTAATTTAATTCTTGAATTGTTAGCAGTAGAAATAGAAATGTTATTGGTTAGTAAAAATTTAATATATCAAATCAAATATTATTTACATTATTAATTCAAATCATTAATCGTTTAATAAATAATTGTAGGTTTGGCGTAATCCAGGTTGTAGACAAGAATTAGCACTCCCAGGAGAAACTAGTATTGCTGAATGGCGTGCTAAAGCTATGAATGAAAAATGGAGAGAATATACGCGTTTAGCTTGGGAAATTAGTCCAAGTCTTGCTGTATTTATGCCAGTACGTTTGAAGAATTCTGAAATTATTATCAAAGAAATTTGTGGATTGGTGAGACAAAAACCTGTTTCAGTTATGCATATTTCAGAAGCTTTACAATATCTTGTAACTACAGATACTCTTTTGAATGATGTTCCTGAAGTAAGTATTGCATAAGTCTAATATAAACTTAATTTTATAAATATGTTCTCTATATATATATATAAATATCATTTTTGTTTTACAGTTGGTTTACATGTTAACATGGGCAAGAGTTTCACCTATTCATGCATTAGCATACTTTTCTCGTCAATTTCCACATCATCCAATTTCTGCTCAATATGCAGTACGAGTATTAGACAGTTATCCTGCTGATGCTGTACTTGTTTACATACCACAACTTGTACAAGCAGTTCGCCATGATTCTATGGGCTATGTTACTGAATTTATTAAAAAGATTGCTAAACGTTCTCAGGTAAACATAATGTTTAAAAGTAAAGATCCAATTTTCTAAAAATATAATATTAAACAAGATTTGTTTATATATTATTTTAGGTAGTAGCACATCAATTGATATGGAATATGCATACAAATATGTATATGGATGAAGAAAAACAAGTAAAAGATCCAGTTCTTTTTGATGTGTTAGATTCATTAGTGAAAAATATTCTTAATGCATTATCCGGTCCAGCTAAACAATTTTATGAAAGAGAATTTGATTTCTTTGAAAAAATAACTAATATATCTGGTGAAATTAGGCCATATCCAAAAGGTCCTGAACGTAAAGCAGCATGCTTGGAAGCTTTATCAAAAATCAAAGTACAACCTGGTTGTTATTTACCATCTAATCCTGAAGCAATGGTTATTGATATAGATTATAAAAGTGGGACACCTATGCAAAGGTAATATTAAATTAAATATTATTGACAAAATCATTAGAAAATGATTAATATGTATTATTAATAAAATATTTGTTTGAATATTTACAGTGCTGCTAAGGCACCATTCCTTGCACGTTTTAAAGTTCAAAAGTATGGTATTAATGAATTAGAAAATATTGCATTAGCGGTGTCAACAAATGGAAAAGTTGAGAGAAAGAAAGATACTGGAAAAGAAACATGGCAAGCTGCCATTTTTAAAGTTGGCGATGATGTTAGACAAGATATGCTAGCATTACAAGTAATTAGTATATTTAAAAATATATTCCAAAAAGTTGGTCTGAATTTATTTTTGTATCCATATAGAGTAGTGGCAACAGCACCAGGGGTAAGATTTTATTTATATAATATTATTATAATCATTAATAATACTATATTTTTATAAACTTGTGTTCTTCACAGTGTGGTGTTATTGAATGTGTACCAGATGCAAAATCACGAGATCAATTAGGACGTACAACAGATATTGATATGTATCAATATTTCATTACACGATGTGGTGATGAAACAACGAAAGAATTTCAAACGATTCGACGTAACTTTGTTAGATCAATGGCTGCTTACAGCGTGATTACGTATCTTCTTCAAATTAAAGATCGTCATAATGGAAATATTATGTTAGACAGTCAAGGCCATATAATACATATAGATTTTGGCTTTATGTTTGAAAGTTCTCCTGGAGGAAATCTTGGATTTGAACCTGATATCAAACTTACTGATGAAATGGTACTAGTTATGGGTGGTAAAATGGAAGCTGCACCTTTTCGTTGGTTCATGGAATTATGCGTTCAAGCTTTTCTAGCTGTGAGGTACAACAATACTTTTATATATATATAATTTGAAAAATGATTACTCATTTAATTAATTGATCTATATAATGTATGAATTATTATTTTTACAGGCCTTATCAAGAAGCAATCATTTCTCTTGTTTCTCTAATGCTCGATACAGGCTTACCATGTTTCCGAGGTCAAACAATAAAATTATTACGTGGTAGATTTGTTCCAACAGCTACTGATAGAGAAGCTGCTGCTTTTATGCTTAATGTTATTCGTAACAGCTACCTCAATTTCCGTACGAAAACATATGATATGATACAGTATTATCAAAATCAAATTCCTTACTAAATTATTAACATATTCTCCATTATATTATTATACTGTTTGTTGGATCTATGTCGATGATCTATGTTATGTAACTTTCTTCACAAATGTGCAAAGTATATAATGTATAATATGGTTAAATGTGATATAGTAATTATGGAACTGTATAAAAGTATCAATATCATTGTTATTTTCATTTCTATATGTATATTATAAAATAATGATATTTTATTTCATTGATAGTAAAATATGTGAATTATATGAGAACATTCCGTTACTTATAATCGTGCTGTTAATTGTAAAGTTATTAAATTAATTCACTGTAATAACTTTAATATTAAATATTTATGAAATTTATTAATTAATATTAAATATTTATTAAATATGTTATTCATAAGATATGCTAGTTAAATGTATCATGTAACAATATTTTCTCTAGATATTTTGGATTGACCATTATTTAAATAAATAGATCAATAAATATACTTTTGATAATAATCAAATTTCATTTATGTAATATTTACAATGATACTCACATATAACTATAGTATAATTTATATTTATCTAAATAAGCAATTATTTTTCTACATCTGAATAAATATGTCATTTAAGAATGTAACACTCTTTTTCCTGGAGTAATATACTTTTGTCCAACAGATTTCTGTTCACTTCTGAAATTGATGAATTAACGTTTATATATATATATAAGATATGATATTAATCAAATAAATTCAAATATATCAATCAATCAATGTGTTGTACTGTAAATATAAGTTTTAACCTATATCAAACAAATTATGTTTACGTATTATAACAATTTATTGTAAACTCTTTAAAGACTGTTGTAAGCCAACAAAATAATAATCTTACATAATTAAAAAAGATAAATATATTATGAAATTATCATTACCCTGCTGTAATTTGTTTATCTAACAAAACTTCAATTGGTGGTTTAACTTCTCGTCTACCATCACGAGTATAATAATATACTTTTGAAGTTACATGATGTGGTCCACCTGGTACTTCTGGTGGAGGTTGTGTTCGTGCAGCAATTAAATCTGCATATCGTAATTGAGTAGCAACAGGTTTCTATTCATAAAGTATTCATAATTATTATTTGTTCAATATCAAATATCAAAATCAAACATCATTCTATGACATAATTTGGAATCGTTGAAGAAAGTGCAAACGTAAGAAAAAAAATATTATAAATAACATTATTAATTACTTACACCTCGCAAAAATCTACGTAACATTTCAATTATTGGCGTTACAGCACGATGTTCTACCATTTTATTAATTTTTCTTATATTAACGATCCGTCCAGAATATTATTATGTCATACAAACAAGGTTATGTACTGTTTTCTACAAGACTAATCAATTCTATAAACTAAATCACCTTTAATTTGCTAGAGAGTCGATAGATGGCGCATAGATCGCAAGCTATCTCGGCGCGCGAAAATATAAATTTAATAATTAATAATAAATCAGAATCTAGCAATGAAGAAAGTTCCCATAATTGTTTTGAAATAAATAAAACGTCTATGCTTTGACAATATATATATATGAAAATTTTGGAAACGTCATAAATATCATTGTTTTTATATAAGTAAAGTTTCCAACAAAATACCTGATCTTACATTGGAACGAATTTTAATTATTATTACGTATTATAATGCTATTATCATAAAAACTGTATATATAAATATGTACATATAATACAGATTTACGGTTTAAGATTTCTTTACTTTTAAGAAACCAGCCGTATTGGAGAAATATTTGGCATTAGCTTCATTAACTTTTTTCTCTGCAGCTTGTGGATTGACAATTTCCAAACCCTACGATAAATGATACAATATAATAAATGATTATTGTATATGAATGATTATAAATAGTCATTGAAGTATTTAAAAAATTTTACCTGCAATGGTGTAAATGCTACACTTGAAGCCGTTCCTGAAACTTGTTTTTTAACAGAAGTACTTCCACCCCATTGCTGTTGTTTTTGTAAATTCTTTTGCAAAGTTTTTGAAATTCGAACTTTTGTTTTTTCATCAATTTGTGGTAATCTAATGCGTCCTGTTCCTGCTTTTCCAATTGTACCTCTTGAATATCCAAGATCTTCTTGATAAGCATCGTTCTCTATATCCGCAAAATTCATCCTATTTGCGTGTTTTCTAAATTCTGTAATCGCATAACGTTCCTTCATTTTTCTAACACGTTTGCCACCACGTTTCTTTCTACTTGGATCGATTGGTTTCGGTAAAGGTTTAACAAATTTGACGGGAGGTGGTTCTTGTAATTTATCTAATTTCTTTTCTATCTCATCACGAAATAACTTTCCAATATGACCATCTGTACTTTCGTGAAAAGCATCTACACGAGCAGCTAATGTACCTTTTGCTGCGACAAGCCTAGCTGCTTTTCTACGTAAATCCTTAAAAATAATTGTTAATAAATCATATGAGATAACTATGAAATGTTTACTTAGAATAATTTTGTATAAACTCACTGGTGGTGTTTCTTGAACGATGTCAGAATAATAAATAAATCCTGTATGAGGTAGACTAGCCATTTGTGAAAAACCAGAAAGCGTTGTTTTTTGGGATCCTAAGACTAATACGTTGCAAGATGGCATTTTGGATAATTTTGTCAAACCTCCGGCAACACCTAATAAATCATGTAAATATGTTAATAAATTTGTAAAAGTAAAAGTAATGTTTAAAATAATAAGATATATTTAAATAAAAATACCCATAAGTTTTGCAGCAGTTGATGCTCCAACTATTACAGAAAGATTTGGTGCAATAAAAGTCATTCTACTTTCTACGTATTCTAATATTTTGGATTTGCAATTGTTTAATTCTACTGCCATGTCGCAGGCTTCGCATATAGCTTCTTTTTCTTCTTCGCTTAATAATTGTCTATAATAAAATATGATTATAGAATAATAAAAACTTAAACATAATAGAGATATTTAAATGATAGAAATTATTTACCCTTGAGTTGTAGAAGCAGTAACAGAAACAACCATTATAGTGGCTTGTGTAAGAAATTGTTGCAGAGTTTCATTATTTTTTGCTTTATCAAGATCATTGCCAAGTTCTCGAACAGTCATAACATATTCCAATGGTCCTACTACTAATGACTCAAGTTCTGGAAATCTTTTTGAGTATTTGTCTCTTGTAAACCGATGAATCGTAGCTATATGACACATTGAAATAAATATATTTATAATGATAAATACAATTAATTTGTACTTAAAAAAAATGAATTACCTATTTCATTGTCTATGTCGACTGCCATATTATTGGCTTCGACAATCAATTGATATTCTGGATCAGATTCAACTGGGCCTATTATGTCTGTCGATTTCTTAGGTACTTTACTGTATTTTTCTATTTCAAGCATAATCTTCTTCAACTCTTCAGAATCGCGAAGCTTTGCTAATTCTTTCACTGAAGCAACTTTTATTTCTGTAATCAAAATATAAGAAAAATATAGTAAACAATAATATGTACAATGAGAAATAAAAACTAACCTTCTTCAATAGATTTGGAAATGTTTGGTGGAATAAAATCCGGTTCTGGTTCTTCAACCATTCGATTGGAATCATCATTTTCTTCTAAATCTGCTAACAACTCGTCAGCAAGCGACATTTTTCTTATTTAATTAAAGAATTCTTTATATCTAAAATTATATTCTTTAAAACACCTAAGAAATTGTCAACGCGAAAACGTAAATTAACACTAGATGTCAGTATACAGCGCCACAGTAGCTTCAGGGTAAATTTTAGATAACGATTTGAAATCGATTCTATTCGAGATATGCATCGATATGATCGATATCGATATACATCGATATGATCGAAATAATCGATTAATAGAAATAGTAAAACTAATAAAAATAATAAAAAATAATGAAAATAGTCAAAGTTGCAGCATGGTTTAGAATAGTGTCAATTTAACGAAAACAAAGTGCAAGTGTTGCATATTTACTTTTAAGTCAATTTAATGTCCATATATGTTATTATATAATCTTAATGTGATATAATATATAATCGTATAGTTGTAGAAAAAATTATGTTTTCATATAATAATTTATGTAATATGCATTTGCATATGTTGTTTCACTTTATCGTATTATAAAAATATTTTGTCGTATTTTTTAAATGGCGATTACGTCAACAGAATTTTCATGACTGTTATATTTTGTCCCCCTGTGTTTGATGTTATTGTCATTAATATTTCGAATTATTTTTCCAAATTAATTTTGTTTGAAATTACGAAACTTCATGCAAAATATGAAAGCTTCAAAGTCACGTGTAAAGTATTGATCAAATGATTGTTAATCAAAATGATGATTTAAACGATTCATTCACGTAATAATATAATAAATAAAAATGATTAATTTATGGTTACATTTTATCAAAGAATAAATATAATACTACTGTGTTGGAATAATAAAATTCATTCGAATAAATGAACGCAACAAGATTATTAACAACAACATCTATTACAAACTTTACACGTAATATTCACATCGGCGTATTGCGTCAGGAACAAAAGGTAAGCTCGATTATTTGGACTGATATGTGTAAATCTTGTTGATTATCATATTATGTAAGAATTTGACATTAGACAAAGGTTAAGGTTAGGTATTTCTTATATCTTTCTTTGTACAAATTTTGTCTTTTTATTCTTGTTGATCTTAGTCAAAGAAAAAGTTGATGTGCAGATTATGATTTACATTACAATTCTTTATTGTTGGTAATTCTGTTCTTTATATCTATGGGTTAGTGCTACTGATAACATTTTCTTCTGTAGATTCTTCAGATGCTCGAGTTGCCCCTGCAACAACACTCACTTTTTGGATATCATTGTAAAAGTGCATCACTTCCAGAAACATTATTTTCAACGTATTCAAACATAATTGAGTCAATGGTTAATCCAATGGCACATCAAGAACTTAATAAAAATATCATAGAACCATTTTTGGATACGTCTTATGTTACAAACAGTAATTTAATGACCTGTAATATATCATATAATATATCTAACAGTTACACCGATTCAATGGAGAATAATATGGCCATTTGTTCATCTATAGAAGAAAGAAGTATTATCGATGAACAAAATTATAATGCATTAAGAAATTGGGAAAGATCGGAAAAAGGTAAGAAATAATATTTCATATAATATTGTAAATTTGCAAAGATACAATTAGCAAGAGTTTACTCTCAACATTTGTTTTATTTTTTTTTTTTTTTGTATCAATGTTGTCTCATCATTATTTTAATTCTGTTCTGAATTTAGGAAAAGTACAACAAGTTGATGGAGATGGTGCATTTGTATTTAGATTATTATCTTTCAATATACTCGCACAAAATCTTTTGGAAGAGAATTATTATCTATATAAACGACACGATAGAGATGCATTATCTTGGGAAGTAAGAAAACCACTTCTATTAAAAGAAATACTTGGAGCACATGCTGATGTAAGTCAAGCATAAAATATGCCAAACATTTGAGTGTTTATATTATGTAAATATTTTCATTATATATTGCATAGATTATATGTCTTCAAGAAATGCAGGAAGATCATTTAAACGAATTTGTCAAACCATTTAAAGAACTTGGTTACAAGTATCTTTACAAAAAACGAACTAACGATAAAAGGGATGGTTTACTATTACTGTATCATTCTGATCAATTCAATTTGATAGATTATGTGAAAGTAGAATATTATCAACCAGGCATAGAACTGCTTAACAGAGACAATGTTGGCATAGTTGCTAAACTATCATTTCGTGATAGTCCAAATACACAAATCGTTATAGCTACTACCCACTTGCTCTTCAATCCAAGAAGAAATGATATCAGATTAGCACAAACTCAACTGCTATTTACAGAAATTGAAAGAATTGCATTTATCGAGAATACAGAGTAAGGAATATTCAACGATTATTATTAATCTAATATATATATATATATATAATCTATAATTTCTTCATATATTATAAATATTTGCTTTATTGTGGTACAGATCTGGTCCAAAGTATCTACCAATTATTTTTTCGGGAGATTTTAATTTAAGACCTTATACGGGTGTTTATAAATTTATAACCGAAGGATCATTTGAGTATTATGGTAAAGGACAAAATTTGGAACCAACTAATTTTCGTCCTTTATCTTACATATTAATACCACCACGATTACGTATTACGGATAATTGTCAATATTTTCATCTTGTAATAAAAAGATTAAGAGAAAATATTAACGATAATAAAAAGGTACATTATTATTTAAATAATTATAATATCTAAGGAAATAATGGAAAGATATTTTCATACTTTGTTGAAATATTTCTAAAATTGTATTTTCAATGAAAATTATAAAACAAATGTTCATTAAACATTAATATATGTGCATACATTGTTTTAACATTTAATTAGAAAATTCTGATATATTTATTGTTCTAGACAAAGGATTCTAAATGTGACGATAAACAAGATGAAATGTATGGCATAGCTGTATTTAATCAAACTGGCTTTGATGCAAAGAAAAATGAACCACAAACGATTGAAATAACGAAAGATGATTGTATCAAATTTTCATCTGGCAAATTAACACATCCTTTTAATTTGCGTAGTGTTTATAAACATGCAGATGCACATGGAAATGAGGAAGTAACAACTAATCAAGGAAGATGGATTACAGTTGATTACATATTCTATAGCGATCTTGAACCAGTAAATATATACACCTTGCCAACCCTAGAAAAGTGTACAATTTTACCTACGATACCTAACTTTGCTGTTGGAAGTGATCATTTATGTTTAGGGGCTACTTTTAAGATATTAAAGAAAGAATAGTAAAAAGTACAGATGAACATATACTTGTTCTTTTTTTTTTTTTTTTTTTTGAATCAATTCAATTTTCCTTTTTATTATTTTTTTTTTTTTAATTTCAATTTTTTTTTTTTTTTTTTTATTGTTGTTTTTGTAAAGTTATTGTATCCTAAAAAAAAAACACAAAAAAAAAAAGATCTATATTTTGAATAAATCGTGTATGAACATACACGTAATTTTGATCAAAGTTATTATTGATATATAAACCAACGACAAATATTTCATTTCTATATTTTCCAAAATATCAATGATTTCACTTTTTTTTTTTTTTTTCATAGATTAACTCTTTCGATACAAAGCAATATATATTCACCATCAATTTGTTGTATAATGGCTGTGAATACATAGTGATTTTATTATTATCATAAAAACATCAAAGAGTTACTAATGGTATAAATAATAATAATAATAATAATAATAACAATACTTTTATATAAGTAAATAATAGTATATAACGAAATATGTTTAAAGAAAAATTTATAATATTAATTGTAAAATAATTATCGTTTTGATTTTTTCTTTTTTTTTTTTTTTTTTTTTTTTTAAACTAACGACATGTAAGTAATTCATATAACATGAATACATAAAAATTATATTTAATTAAACATTTTATTATTTATAATAAAAATATATTATAAATTATGCATATTATTAATTATTTTTTCCTTTTATTATAATATTTATATTATATATTTATACTAGAGGGATGTCCCGCCACGCGTTGCTGTGACTACTCACAATCAGTCCGATACACACGTCTTTAAGTCAACGAATTATCTAATATTGCAATTATAAATTGAGATATAAACTATCCTATCTTTCAAGTTGGATGAAACTGCACACAGTGTGCAAAATTTGATTAAAATCGGTTCAGTAGTTTAAGAGTCCATTGCGGACAAACAACGTGACACATAATTTATATATATATATATTAAGAAGAAGATATAATTTTATTATAAATATTGCTTTTTATTTTTCTTTAAATAAATTTTCTATTTCTTTACCTTATCAGATGTTCAGACCAAATTTAATCTTATCATACTTGATTATCATTATCCTATGATGAAACATGATGAAGTGTACGTGCAGATAAACAGTCTATTTGTATAATATATCTTCTGTATAAAATTTTCACAATGTTTTTTCAACAGTGTTTCAATAGAAACATTGTCTGTTTTATTTTCTAGGAATGGGAATGAAAAATCTCCTGAAATATGTTTAGTATCCAAATATTTGTTAAACTTCATGAATTAACTGAAATTAATGAATATCTTTGTAATTATTATATTTCAACAATTATATGTATAAAATAAAAAATGTTCTCTCTCTCTCTCTCTCTCTCTCACTCTCTGTATTTTTATTAACAAGAAATTGCAATATAACAACATTAAACCTTTTTTCTGTTTATTGTTATATTTATACTTAATATATAAAGCACAATGTTCAAAGTTATACTACCGTCCAAATATTTGTGTCTGACTGATTGATATGGTAATCATTTTTTTGTTTGTTAATTAATCTTTTTCGTTAAACTATTAACGTCTACAGTTTCTTCTGCTATAGTATCAGCATCTGTACGTGATTTATCAACAGGATACAACCTGAAAAATATTATTCATATTAATATTAACAAAACAATATTAATTACTAATGTTTATCAAATACTACAGGGGGGAAGTAAGAATAATAACAAAGTTATCTCTTACCATCTTTGATAAAGATAAATAAGAAAAACTGCATCATCCCTGAAGCATGCTATTCTATGAGCAGTTGGCATTGTAATAATAAATGCAAATATATCATCGATGAAAGTATTAAATGCTTTGTACATGAATGCTCTCCATGGTAAATGAGCAACAGATTTTAATTTATAATTAATAAAAAGTTGTGGAAGCATGAATAAAAATCCAAATGCGTAGACGCCATTTACCAGGGAATGTATTGTCCAAGAGTACCAACTATAATAACATTAAATACATTTGTTATAATACGTTTATAAAAAACAAATTAATATTTATTGAAATCTCAATATAATCAACATTAACTTGAATAATATATTTTCTTACCTTTTGTGATGTTGATAAAGTAATGAATAAAGTGCAGCACCAATAACAAGTGGATATAACAAATAACTTAGATATCGCATACTTTCAGCATCAAATACTCTTGTTTGTGCTTCAGCTGCATTGATTTTATTTTCATTAAAATGAATTCTTGGAATAATACCATTATTACTGATCACTTCTATTCTGAATATTTTTTTTAATTTCCATAACTGTTATAAGAAATATTATTAATATAGTTCAAATGTTAATATCATATTATGGACACTATTTGTTTTATACAAATTATTAAATGTACCTCTATAATGGTGCCTATTCCAGTTGGTATGAGTACAAGTAAAGATGAATTTTCTTCTAACAAATAGAAAAAAATAATAGTCTGACTGAAAGCTCTCCATACAACTGTCCATTTACTAAGTCCAGCAAGATTATTCTTTCTTCTCCAAAAACTCACGTCACTTTTGAAAGCGAGAAAATCAAACAGCAACTATAAATAAATGATTTTTTGATTTTAATAATGGTCTAAAGATGTAATCAACATGTTTTGTATTTTTCTTATATTCTTACATGAATGGCTGCAATGAAGAAAGTACTTCCTAATAAATATATATTAGTATCTGCAAAAATTCCTTTAACTTCATCTATATCCTTGTCTGAAAATCCAAGATTTTTCAAACTCTGCATAGCAGCTTCAACATGCAATATCAATCTTAATTTTCCAAGAGTTATTGGAGTATACATAAGAGAAACATTAACAGTTTTATTCTGTGGTGATATTTGTAAAAGATCACGATGTCGAGTTTGTAAAAAGTCATAGTTAATAATTGGTAAAAATTTATTACCATTTATTATCCTGTATAATAATATGATACATATGTTAATACAAATACAATTTTATAAAGATATTTTTAATATAATAAAATAACAAATATATCAAACACAATATTAGACAAATGATTATCATTAGCTTTACAAAGTTATGCTTGCAATTTGGTCAATATTATGTTTCATATAATTGTATAAATTAATTTATGTATAATATATTAAAAACAAATGATACCTTAAATCATGTATGAGTTCCATGGGTACACCATCTGTTGGAAATTTAATATCTTCTGTCATTATTGTAAATGTTACTTTGCTTTTAATATGTGTTACAGGATACACATATTTTTTGGTTGTTCTTGCACTTACATCTCGTTCTTCTAATAAATTAAAAACTTCTGCTTCAGGTACTGAATATTGTGTTAGTTTTATAGTAGTATATGCCATAAGTAAATCCTATAAAAAAAACATATATATAATATAATATATTTGATAGAGACTACTACTCTACTATACTCGTCTATACTCAACTATACTCTATTATACTCGACTATTTATGTATCTTTATACCTTTTGCAATTCTCTAAAGGATTTAACTTGTTTATAGTAAATAGGCACCATTATCACATGTAGAAACAGCGTTCCATTTTGTTTAGTTTTTCGAGGAAGATCTATGGAAAGAGAACTAAGAAGAAAAACATGATTATTTATCAATGTTCATTTGATCAATAAAACTAAAATTAATATTACACGAACTATGTAAATGTATATTATAGTTAACATAAAAGAAATGTAATTATATATAAATAAATATAAATATATAATAAAGCTTACATGTTTTGTGTTTGAGTATAATTAAAATTTTCCAACGTATACAACAAATTAACTTCTCTTTCTATTGGTCTCTCAGTTACAGAACTATAAATATGTAATTGGGATTGCGGATTTTTGTATAAATAAGACTCTAAGCATGGTTTTCCTTTCTCACATGATGGAACAACAAATAATAAAGATAATGTATATATTGAATAAACAATATATGCTAAAAACACTTCAGAAAGTATAAGACTCAATGACGGCCACTGCATTTTGAAATATATACATAAATACGTTCAATTAAATATATGTATAAATATATTTGTTTACAAAAGAAAATCAAACATAACCGTTTATTTAGGCCTTTATCATATAATTACAACGATTTAAATTATTTGTAGTAAGTTGAAGTATGTCATGTTCCTTCCATTTATCCAATACGAATGATTAATGTCAAATCGTAATGACACGTATCACTTATAATAACAATAACTTTTATATATTACTCTTTCTATATATTTGATTTTATGAATTAAAAAATAATTCCAATCATATTGAAAAACTAAGATTTGAATTATATCTCCATTATTTATGTGTGCTGATGTCGTGGTAATTATTTGGATTGAACTAACAAAATTGTAGATGGTCTAACAGCATTTCAGGTTTGACAGACGGCCATTTTGATGCGGCCATTTTTTGCGCGGCAAATTTGAAAACTAATACCAATTTTGTATATGAAAGAATCTAGAATAATTATATAAGTATTGGTAATAGTGACAGTGTACTAAGGCAAATAATTAATTGAAAGAATGAATTTGATAATTAATTTTATAATACAATTGTGTGTTTATATTGTAAAAAAACTTTCAAAATTATTTTATTTAGTTCACTATCCACAAACATTAAAAGAAGTTACTTCTTAATAGTATAAATAGAAATATTTTGATGGTATTTCAAAAATATAGAATTTTTCTTTTTAATATAAAAAAAAAAACACAAACAAAAATGTCTTATATTACATATAAGAGTAATTTAGAATACAGATCAATTTTTGTTATAAATAACGAAGAGTCGACAACACAAAAGAAGTGAAATACAGCTGTGAACTGTATTGGATTTATTATCAATACAGACAATTTTTTATATTTTCTAATAATTATTTGTTGAACGTATTTATATAATACCGATCTTGTTGGCAACATCAAGAGCATCATAATCACGCGTTAAACGGACATATACTTTCTTTTTTCCGTCTGGCCTGATAAGTGTGTTAACTTTGGCCACATCGACTTCGTAAAGCTTTTTGATAGAAGCTTTGATATGATATTTGTTTGCACGTGTATGTACAATAAAAACTAATGTATTGTTATCTTCAATTTTTTTCATTGCTGCCTCAGTGGTCAATGGAAATTTAATGATGTTAAATGCATCCATTCTAAAAGAAAAAAAATAAGATAAATACATAGTTATAATATTACATGTTATTATACGTAACAATATATGTATATCAAATCCAAATGTACTCACCGACTTCTATTAGGGACAGATTTTCGTGAATATTTAGGATTTCTAGGTGGCCTAAATGTCTTTGGCCGATGGAAATGTACAGAAGTTCTTATTTTCCTTACTCTAGATCCATGTACACCTTTCAAGATCTATGCAAAAAAATAATTATAATTTGTAACTAATTTATGAACTAATTTTTTAAGTGTTATATATGATCTATGAATATTCAGTCAATTTGTAATATTTTTATCATAGTAATTCAAAGAGATTCCCTTCTGCTTATCTCATCATTTTAATGTCATTAAACAAAATGAAAAAAATTAACAAACTAAAATTGTATAAGTACCTTTTTCTGGGTTTTGAGGGCCTTTTTGAGAGGTGTTGTTGATGGCTTGCCTCCCTTTGGTATTTTCTTTGTTGCCTGTGCATTTTTTTTAGGTTTTGAAATAACAACCTTCGATGCTGCTTTCTGTGAAGGCTTAGCTGCTGGTTTTGCTGCAGGTTTAGCAGTACTTGCAGGTTTTGCAGTAGCTGGCTTTTTTGCAGCTGTAGTAGCAGGCTTTGATGCTGGTTTTGTTACTTTCGAAGAAGCAGAAGCAACAGATGCCGGCTTCTTCTCAGCTTTCTTCTCTGATTTCTTTTCAGAAGTTTTGCTCGCTAAAAATGAATAAACAAGAGAAAATAATTGTTAAAGTATACAAAACTGAGAGGTTATATTAACAGTCTTCTTAATGTATCACGTAAATTATTGTTCGTATAGTTGTAACATTTGATTTATTGACAATTGTTTAAAATAAAAACAACGTAGTATTTACAACTAGTATATATTTTATAAAATAAGAAACATATGTTGTATAAACCACATGGTTGTTACCTGCTACGAGGGTTTATGCTTGTGTAAACATTCATTCACTTATCGATTTAACCTATAATACTGGCAAATTTTGTTGTTTATACTAATTCAAATTTAATTTACCATTTATTGGATATAATTTACACACAAAATTATAATACACATAAAACTTTGAAACTTACTTTTGTCTGTAGATTTTCCTTTCGGAGCCATCTTGATTAAAGAAAGCTTCTAAGCTAGCCGGAAATCAAAGTCTCGAAAATATCGTTTAACTACGTTAATCGATTAACTCGCAATAACTCGAGATAAATCGAAATAATTTGAAATGAATAATAAAATAAATGAAAAAAAAAAGCTTTGAAAGAATAAAAATTATAATAATTTAATTTAATTTATAATTGTAATGCTATACAATAATAATACTATGATCAAATATTTATTGTAGGTTAGTTTTGTTTAAAAGTTCCTATTAAAATAAATTATAAGTCTAAATATATTTTGCTTACTGTAAATAATAATATATATATAAGAATTTATATAATATATATGCATTTATATATATTTGTACATTTTTATTTAATATTTTCATCTTTTTATTATATGTTCTTTATTTCTGCAATAATAGTATCAATTATTATCAATTAACGTGACATTTATTTGTGTTTTCTTATAAAATTATTTTACAATTTGTTCACACTACTATCTACATAGAAAATGGCCAAAATATGTATGCAGATAATCTAATTGAGATTATTAAGTCTCATTAAGATTATTTTAGTCATGATGAAAGTTCTAATGATAAAGGAGACAATAACAAGTCTAGAAGTTTATAATTTATTTGTTCTCCTAATATTCTTAGAAGAATTTAAAATGTTAAAATTTAAAGTAAGTCAAAAATTATCAAAGATAGAAATTACGATTGTTTATAAGCAGCATCTTGCAATTAGATAAAAATTTACAAACAAAATAAGCTGCGTCTTACACTGGCAAAATGTTTCTTATTTATTTCAATATGTTGAACGTATACGATAAGTTATTTAATTATATGTTATTATCATTAAAGTTGCATCTCCAATTTCATTCCAATCATGTGATATTTTTTTATATGCTTCTGAAATAATCATAGAAAAAGAAAATGAATATTTTTTGAATACACGTAAAGGAAATATTCATTTTTGTTTTTATGAACACTTACCATCCAAACTACTTCCCAATGATTTATGACCAACACAATTGACTAAGGGTATATTTGGAAAATGATTATGATAAATAGATGAATCTAATGCTAACAAATAATTCTCACGACATCGAGATGAAAAGATAAAACCTATTGAGTGTTTTTTTAATGTTATACTTTCTTTAAAGGTTTTTAATGTATCGTCGATCACCTTTTCAGTTTCACAGAAATGATCAAGAATCACACTCCATATTTTCATTTCTGGACCACCTATTAAAATAGCAATAGAATCAGCGTGGACTTTACATGAACGGGTATTTTGTTCATAAGTACAAACTGAAATTCTGTCCACCATTCCACCCCACAATGGAAAATTTTTATTTGGAAACCTAAATAAAAAAAGAAATAAAAACAACAACAAAGATTTCAATATTTTCGAATAAAAAAAAAAAATCAATAGTCTTCAAATTAATCAAATACATGAAGTATTTAATGCATTACCATTCTTTTAAAGATTTCACTAAATCTATTGCTATATTATTATTAATATTATTGCATAATAAAATCAGACAACTTGTCGTAGTAGAATCGTTAATAAAAAATTCTTCAAATGTTGTCTTTAGCTTATCAGAATTTTGGAAAGAATTGTCAATGAATAATTTAAGTTCCTCACAATATATTTCTGATCTTTTCAAATTTTTTTTTAATGTAAACGTAGAGTAACGTATGTCTGGTACTTCAGGAAAAAACATGCATGCAACAGTCTTCTTTGGTCTAATCATCCTTCTTATTGTTGAATGATATTCCAATGATAGTAAGTAACACTTAACTGGTATAAAATCGCAATAGCATCCTTGAAATCAATTCAAATATATTAACAAAACAAGATTATTGAAACGAATGTAATTGTGGCGTCAAACATACTTTCTAATATTGCTTTGTTGAATGGCACATATAAAAGCATAATTAAAGAAGGTTTTACTTGAGAACATTCAATGACTTCTTTTTCAAATTGTTCTAATTTGTTATTAAGTAACGTCTTTTTTCTTCTTTTTATAACATACATAGGACCTCTTTCATTTTTTACATCATTGGCTGCTTCAAACCAAGAACTGTAATTAAAAAAAACAAATAAAAACATTTTATTTGTGCCAAATTCTTTATATAAGTCATTAATAACGAAAGGATGAATATATTCAGTTACAATACAATTGTAATAGTAGAAAAATATTATTCCTAATAAAATATAACTTTATTATTATTAATGTTAATCGTAATTATACCTGCAAACTTGAGAAGCATTATGTAGGTCAAATCCATTTAATAGTTTAAAAATTTTACGCAAAACGTAATAGTTTAAATTTAACTCCATATTATTAATAATATTGATGAACGTAAAAAAAATAGAATATTTTTAATCATTTAATTTGTTACATATATTAAAATAAGCTAGAATATGGGTATTTGGAAATACATTCGTCTATAATCTGTAAAAATAATATTTCAAATAAATACTTTGTACATATACAATAGACATGTAATTTTGTATGTTTACGCTTACATAATTAATTAATTTTCACAACAGTTGTTCAATCATAAAAGGTAATATCACCTGAAGAGTTCATTTCCAAAATATGAATTAAAAGAATCGTAGAACAATAAGTTTTTCATAACAGTATTCACAACAGAAGAAAGTTATACCTCTTTAGAATAGTCTTCGTATAAAAACATTGTTTAAAATAAATCACATACAAAATACAAAATGTAAATTTTATACAGATTACAATTTTATTACTTTTGTAATTATATTAATTAGTCAAATTTCACTATTTTATTTGAGCCTCGATATGAACAAATATTGTAATTATAGACGTTATTAGATGCGTTATACGTTCTCTTCATACTAGAAAGTATTTACAGTACAGATATGTATGTGTATATAAGTATTATTAATCCTTAATCGACTGTCTTGAAATTTGTTTACATTTTATACCAAGGACACAAATTGAACTTTCTTTATTATAAGCAAATGAAATGGGTCATTAGTCTCTGATCGGCTACTAGAAGGATACGAAGCAATTTGTTGTCCTGCAATTGATTTAGTGGTTTGAAAGATCAGCTTTTATCGAAATGTTCTTCCATACTGTTAAAATATTGCTTCACTGTTTGTCTCTACAAAATTAAGAAGCTGCAATTGTCAAAATGTTAACACTGTGAGAAAAAAAACAAGGATAAGAAGAGATAGAATCAAAGATAAAAAATGACAAAATCATGATTATCGTTTTGTTGTAAACATGTAAGTATATGTAATAACAAAAATTAAATAATTTCTTAACTTTATAAATACAAAACTTTAAAAATAAATACATACATATATATATATATACACAATATGTACAGTTACTTCATTTTATTTTATAATTATTGGAACATAATTTATATGATGCCAATCTTGTTGGCAACATCAAGGGCGTCGTAATCACGCGTTAAGCGCACATACGCCTTCTTCTTTCCGTCTGGCCTAATAAGTGTATTCACTTTAGCCACATCAACTTTGTAAAGCTTTTTAATAGAAGCTCTGATGTGATGTTTACTAGCACGTGTATGCACAATAAAAACTAATGTATTATTATCTTCTATTTTTTTCATCGCTGCTTCAGTAGTCAAAGGAAGTTTGATAATGTTAAATGCATCCATTCTAAAAGAAAAAAAAGAAGATAAATACATAGTTATAATATTACACGTTATTAAACATAACAATATATGTATATCAAATCCAAATGTACTCACCGACTTCTACTAGGGACAGATTTTCGTGCATACTTTGGATTTCTTGGTGGCCTAAATGTCTTTGGCCGATGAAAATGTACTGAAGTTCTTATTTTCCTTACTCTAGATCCATGTACACCTTTCAAGATCTATGCGAAGAAATAATTATAATTTGTAACTAATTTATGAACTAATTTTTTAAGTGTTACATATGATCTATGAATATTCAGTCAATTTGTAATATTTTTATCATAGTCATTCAAAGAGATTCCCTTCTGCTTATCTCATCATTTTAATGTCATTAAACAAAATGAAAAAAATTAACAAACTAAAATTGTATAAGTACCTTTTTCTGGGTTTTGAGAGCCTTTTTGAGAGGTGTTGTTGATGGCTTGCCTCCCTTTGGTATTTTCTTTGTTGCCTGTGCATTTTTTTTAGGTTTTGAAATAACAACTTTCGATGCTGCTTTTTGTGCAGGCTTAGCTGCTGGTTTTGCTGCAGGTTTAGCAGTACTTGCAGGTTTTGCAGTAGCTGGCTTTTTTGTAGCGGTAGAAGCAGGCTTTGTTGCTGGCTTTTTTACTTTAGAAGAAGTAGCAGCAACAGATGCCGGCTTCTTCTCAGCTTTCTTTTCTGGTTTTTTGTCAGAAGTTTTGCTCGCTAAAAAGGAAAAATAATCAAATGAAAAACAACAATATGAACTGGTAAATATTATTGTCAATAATTAACGTTGCATCTGCTTATGATGTCATTTTTAGGTTATACTTGTGTGATCTTTCTAACGTTTGACATAAAATATTATTTTTTCATAATTTAAATAAACAATTCGTTGTTACTACAGAGGGAAGAGAAATTTCATATAAATAATAAAAATCTTTTAAAACAATTACTTAAACAGACACGTGTTGACTGCGTCACATGGTTATGTTATCTACAATAACGAATGTACACATTTCATGAAGGACTCATTCACTTAAAAATATACTCATATTTATTTGTTCGTAATAATTTCAATTTTATTTGCCATTAATAAATCAATTTTATTAGATGGTAAAAACGTAAATTTAAATTTACCAGTTTTTTCCGTGGGTTTCGGTTTTGGAGCCATTTTGATGCAAAAGACTCGAGCTGGAAAGTAAACGCCTTATTAATGTCAAATGTAAATACTACTTTAGTCGCATATATAGCGGACACGTATCTACAGTCACGCCTCTGCAGGCTGCTTATACAACTAAGATATCATGCGCGCCCCTCTGCGTCTAAATCAATAACCAACTACCTCAAATGATAAAACAGACCAACAAATATATAAAACGAAAGAACAATAGTTAATGGCGTATGCACACAACGTATTGTACTCACCGCGTGTTCTAAGACTGAATTTAACTACTTGTTATACATATTATAAATACAAATTTATCAATAAAGTTTATCTATACACGTTAATCATTTTGTATATCATTAATCTATTATTGAACAGTGATACCACAAAAATCGATTGGATGCGCCATCTGATGACCTCATAGTGAAACTTGATGCACGGTCTATTAGTGCATATTAAACTGCAGTGTGATTAAAATGTTTGAAACTTTATATTGAAATATTTTGTGATTGTCAGTAATATAATTTAGAAAATAATAATATACGACATAATGTGGATAAGAAAGTTTTAAATATAATATTTGTTTTAAGTTCGGGAAAGTAATCTTATCGTTATGATATTATGCGTAAATTTATAAGACTTTTGTCAGTTAAAGCACGTGCGCGTACATACCATTTGAGGACGCCACCGAAAAGTATTTGAATTTGAATTAATTTCAAACCGTTGTTGAAAGCGTTTTTAAATGACGAGTGATTTAGTAGGTGCTTATCATCAGCTTGTTTCAAATGAATTATTATTAAGACATGAATTAATAAATAACAAGTGTAAAACTATTAAATAAAACATAATACAAGAGTGTAAAACTATAAAAGAAAACAAAATACAAGAGTGTAAAAGTGTAAAGAAACATTAAACAAAAAACTAATAAAATGTCAGATAGTATTAAAGTTGCCATCAAGGTTAGACCTTTGATTAAAAGAGAAAAAGAAGAAAATCTCCCAAAACAATGGATAGTACAAGGAAATTATATAGCGTCTACGGATCAAGAGATGAGGAAACGTGGAGATGGTGGATTTAATTTTGGTATTAACTCTTACGCGTAGATTTATTTATTTATTTATTATAAGTATATAATTTGTCTTGTGCAAATTATTTACCATTAATTATCATTTTTAGATCACATCTTTGATGAGACAACTTCAAATAAAGATGTATTTGACACCGTCGTAAAACCTATTGTTGATGCAGCAGTAAATGGTTTTAATGGAACTGTTATTGCATATGGTCAAACAAGTTCTGGAAAGACGTATACTATGATGGGAGGTTTAAATGAACCTGGAATTATAATGTTAGCTATTGAACACATGTTCGATGCCATTGCTAATACATTAAGAAGAGAATTTTTATTAAGGTTTAACGTTATTTATATATATTATCAAAATACGTTCTATTTGTTTCATAATGTTCCTAGAACCCGTATCGTCCGTTTAAAAAGGGTCAATTGAAGGTTCTAGAAAAGCAGTTCCTTTGTTCCTTATTCCTTTTCATCTTCAAACCTTAACGTTAACTTTTTCTCGAATTTGCGAAACTTCGTTAACGTTGAATTGACACCTTCCCTCCTTATCCTTGGTTAGAAATTTCAAAACCGTTCCTTAGGCTGTAAAGCCTAAATTCACACATAGCTACTATATTTATATTTATGTTATAAATCTGACAACTTTTTATCGTTTGTATATATTTACTGATCTAGTATTATTGTCTCCTATTATTTGTTTGTCGTTAGGTCTTAGTCCTTAGTCATATATCCATATCCCGCTGTTTACTATCCTTACCCTATGTATATAATTATTTTCAATTATATATTTGTTTATTTACAGAGTATCATATCTTGAAATTTATAATGAAAAAGTTAATGATCTTTTAAATAAAAGCGTAACAGATTTAAAATTGCACGAGGATAATGGACAAATAGTTATTAAATGTAAAGAAGAAGTTACCAATAGTCCTGAACATGTTCTATCGATAATGAAAAAAGGAAATAAGAATAGAAGAATAGAAGAAACTGATATGAATGAACGAAGTAGTAGAAGTCATACAATATTTCGCATTGTAAGAACCTTAAATAAATATACTCTTATTATTAATACAAAATATTACTACAATCTTAAAATATATGTATATATATGTATATGTTATTTACAGACTATAGAAAGTCGTAAAACTGATGCTGAATCAGATGGAGCAATACAAGTTTCACAATTAAATTTAGCAGATTTTGCTGGTTCAGAAAGAGCAGGTCAAGCAGGTACTACTGGAGAACGTTTTAAAGAAGGTCGACTTATTAATTTGTCTCTTTCTGCATTTGGATTAGTAATAAAGCAATTAAGTGAATCCCAAGATACACAAAAACATGTTAACTTTCGAGATAGCAAATTAACGAGATTGTTACAAAATTCAATTGGTGGAAATGCTAAGACTGCAATAATATGCACAATAACACCTGCTGCATTAGAAGAGTCACAGTATACGTTATCGTTAGTATATTACTTATATATATATAGAATATATTTTATGTTATTTATTATAAATAATGATTTTCAAAAGTAAGAGATGAAAAATAATTATTATTCAATATATAATTTTGTTGTTTACATATTAATTAGATTTGCGTCACGTGCCAAGAGGGTAGAAAATAAACCACAAGTTAATGAAGTTATGTCTGATGCGACACTTTTAAAACGTTATGCCAAACAAATTTCTAAACTCAACTGTGAATTAGAGGTTTGTATCTATTGAAAAGACTACAAAATAGTTTTAGCAATAACAATAGAGATTCTTAATTATAGTAATATACTTGATATCAAAATATGTTTGAATATTCTTGTTTTTATTTGTATTCTTTTTTTATTTTTTTTTTGTTCTCCTTTTAATAGAAAATTAAAAAAGAAAAAACTGAAGAACTGGAAAGCAGATTGCACGAGAAAGATCGCATTAATCAACTCTTGGAAGAACGAATTGAATTGTTAAAAACTAAAATTGTATCTGGGAATAATGCAAATAACGAAGACACGTTTGGATGTAGATCTAAAAGAAGACGAACTTGGGCAGGACCTACATTTAAACAAAATGTATCAAATTTTCAACCAAGCCAAGGTCTGCCTACAATCAAAGAAATGTCACCGGTGAAACCTTGTAGAAAAAGTATTATTCAAAGTGTTGATTTAATGGATCAATGTTAGTAACTTTATCATTGTATTTTTTTTTTTTATACATGTATTCATGTTTTCTTTTTATTATCTTTTAATTGATATCAATTTTATGAATTTTAGCATTCCAAATAGCTTTTACGGATTTTGAATTAGAATTAATTAATGATGAAAAGGATAGAGATGATGATGATTCCATAGATAGTGTCAAAGAAATGTATATTACAAAAAATAGACATCAACATCGAGTAACATTCATGGACGATTTAAGCATTTACAAACCTAATTATAATATTTATGAGAGTACACCTATAAAGAGAGATATTACACCATCTCAGGCAAAGTAATAACACAAATTATTATTAATAATTATACTATTTATCAATAAACAATTAATAATATATTATTATTTTTAGCGATATTCAAGAAGATCAATCTTTTACACCAAAAAAAGTATTACGTGAAAGACTGTCATATCTACAAGAAGAATTTGATAAACTTTGTGAATTTACAACATTAGAAAAACAATTGTATATTGAGAATCATCAATGTAATTCCGTAGTAAGTAAAATTTTTTATATAAAACTTTTATTTTATTATTATTATTATTATTTGTTGTTGTTGTTGTTGTTTATATTAAATATACAAATTTTCTCTATAATAATAGAATGAAAAACAAGTTACGACAGAGCAAAATTCAGAATTGCAAGAACAAATACTTAATGTTACAACAGAGAATAATTTATTAAAAAATCTAATATCAGAAGTATTAAAATATGCAACAAGTCCTACCAATATAAATGCAGAAAGCATAGAAATGGATTTGTTGGATGAAACAACATCACAAATGTCAAGTAAAACAATATTGGATATACCTTTCAAAGATATTGAAGTTAAACAGGTAATCGATAAATTGCAAAATAAAATAATGAAAAGTATAAAACAACATGAAATAAGAAATTTAGAAAAGATTTTCGAATCGGACATTCAAATGTCGCATCTTAAATCGGAGAATAAAGAATTGAAAGAACAAATAATCTCTTTGAAACAAGAGATAGATGAACAAAATGAAAAAGAACAAATGTATGAAAGTGAATTTGAACAGAATTTGAGTTGTAAAGAAAATCCATTAACTTTAATATCTGACATTAAAGAAGAATCTTCAATAATAAAAAAGAAAAGCATGTTATTAACTGACACTGAAGAAGCAAATGTTGAATTTGAAAGGAGTATATTAAAATCTAAAGAAATAGAAAATATATTAGAACAGGGCAAACAATTAATAGAATTCTCACCAATAAAACCTCGTAGATCATTAGAACAATTAAATTCAACTAATAAAACATGTAAACATGAAATATCATCTGTTTTGATTAAAGAAACGTTAAATGATAACAGTCATAAAATGTCAACTGATGTACAACGAAAAAGATCATCAATTTTGGAAGAAAAGGAAAATATCATTGTTGAAATGAACGAAGAATACAAGAACGTTTCTGTTAATGAACAAATTGATCATGTTGATGTTGAAAATCTTTTCGTTAAATTACGCAATCATTTGGATAATATAGACAAATGTGAAATTGTCCAATTACATCAGTTGAATGAAATATTTGTATCGAAAGATCAACAATATGTTTTGAGTGAATTAAATAAACAAAAAATAGAAAATGATTACAACAATATAAGAAATGTCATTAACGATAGTGTTCATTTAAAAAGTCTGTTACATGATTTGGATACATTTGTTAATTCCATTATGACAAAAAATAATAAAATGAAAGAACAATTGGAAAAACAATTAAACTTTTTGACCGAAAGTTTTAACGATAATGTTGATAACGAAGAACTTGTAGCAGATTTAGATATGAAAACGCAAGAATTAAGTGAGATCAAAAGTGACGTGGTAAGCCTTAAATTAGATATGAAAAAATTACAAAGAACAATATTTCTATTGACGGCTGAAAATGAAGAATTGTCTGCTAAATTAAGCGCTGAAAAAATAAGTAAAGCTGACTGTTCGGTAAGTTATTTTATATATTATCTTCTTTTTTTTTTTCTAATTTATATAAAAATGTAATATATTTATATATATATATATTTTTTTTTTGTAAACCTTTCAGAAAATGATTGATGATTTACAAGAACAAATTTCCAAAATGAACAATGAAAATAAAGATATGTTAAATGAGATCTTAATTCTTAATGAACAAATTAAATGTTTCCAATTAGAAGGAGAAGATACGAAGGAAAACAAATGTCTTAATTATGATAAAACGATATCAAATATTGAAGTGTCAAATGATAATAATGAAAAACCTGTAAATGTAGACTGTAAAACTGAACAAATTGAATTGCAAACTAGTATCAATGAAACTACAATACATGAAGGAAAAATGATGAAAGATGATACCTCCTCATTTGTAGATGAATTTTTAACGGAAAATGAATTAAAATCATCTCAAAAAAGTGATATTGAAAATAATGAAAATAATATTGAACAATTAACATTTAATAATAATCTGTTAAAATGTGAATTGATGAAATTAAAAGAAAAAGTAACATTGTTAACGGAGGAACATGTAATATCTCTTAAAAAATCTTTGGAAACTTTAGATAATAAATGTGATGTTACATTAAATGTTACAAGTGAAGAAACGAAAGATGATAAGTTGAATATTTTATTAACAAAATGTACTACTTTGAAAGAGACAATGGATTATCTTGTAATATTGAATACAAAATTAGCCGATATGAAAATAATTTTGTGCAATCGGTGTGCTGAAATGAAAGAATTAAATGAAAATAAAAAGGATATTAAATTGAAAACAAAAATGTTAACCGTTAAATTAGAAAATATGCAAGAAAATTTCAATCGAAAGTGCGCCAACATTGAGCTACTGAAAAATAAAGCTAACGAAGATTCATTTTTAAATATTTCTGAAACATCTTTCGATGGTTCTTCGTTGGATGGAATAAATGTAACTTCAGTGGAAGAGGAAGTTTCTCTTTTGAATAAAGAAATGCAAATATTACAGGACGATCATGTGAAATTATCATATTTGTATAAAGAAAAATGTGATGAAACTGAAAGACTTCGTAATTCTATTATAACTGAAACTAATGTTGTATCTCCATATAAAAAGGATACCAAAAAAGGCAAATCTAAAATTGACAAATTACAAAAAGACATTGATTATTGTAAAGTTGATTTACAAGAATTAAAGAATAAAATTATTAATGATCTTAAAAAATCATTAAATGAAATAAATATGTTAAAATCTGCCAACGATGAATTGTCCAAAATAATATCAAATCAAAATGTATTATTGGAAACTAGCGAGAAAAATGCCAAATTATTTGAAAATGAAATGACTAATTTAAATGTTCAAATAGACAATTATAAAATGGTACAAGAACAAGTGGAAAATGAAAAATCTAATTTGAAACAAGAAATAGATAATATGAAAATAAATATACAAGTAAAAGAAGACATTGTAAATGATTTGAACAGAATAATCGATGAATATAAAGAGAAAAATGATTGTTTAGAAAAAAAATTGGAAAATATAGAAGAAAGCATTGAAATGAGTCGTCAAATTTATGAAGATAAGTATGAAATACATAATACATTGAATAATGAAATTGACAAACTTAAGGATGATTTAAATTCTGCCAAAGCTTGTATTATTAATGAAATGAAATGTTTAAAACCCATTGAAGATAGTCAAAATTACTTTGATAAATCTATAAACAATCTTTTACTTATATTCTTGGAAATGGTTACTTCAAAGGAACAGGAAGTAATTAATGTCATACAGGAACGATTGTCTATCGATAAAGAAAAATATGAAAATGAAAGACAACAAAGTATACTAGCAGAAAAATGTCTTCGATTAAGGACAGAAGAACTCGAATTGGAAGTAGAAAAATTAAAAGATGATATTAAAACACAAGAAATAAAACATTTGGAATTATTGAATAAAATGTCACTTATGGAACATACATTGAAAGAAAATAATAATGAAAAAGAGATACTTATGAAGAAAATTCAATCACTTCAAATTGATTATAATAACATGCAAGAAGAATTTAATAAACAGTCAGCAATAAAAATACAACAAAGGGAAATTGATATAAATAAAAAAGAAGAAATGGTAGAAACGATACGAATCAGGGAAGAATATAAAGACAAAATCGATAATTTGTTATCAACTTTGGAAAAGTATAAAATAAATAATGTTGAATTAATGAAAAATGTAGAAAGTCTTGAAAATAATGAAAAAGATTTAAAGAATATTCTTAATATGAGAACAGATGAATTAGATAAGTGTAATAAAAATTTGGAAAAGATAAACAATGATATTGAACAACTTACAAATATCAATGATGAATTAAAACGTGAAATGGAAAATAAAGATGCATCTATTGTTAAACTTTCTAACGAAATAAAAGATCTCGTTGAATTAATAGAATCGTATAAAAGAGAAAATATGGAATTGATTGAACAAATAAAAGGTATGAAGATAAATGAAACAAATTTAAATGTTATGATGAATAAAAAAATGAACGAATTTACGGAGAATAATAAATATATAGAAAAAATGAAAACTGAGATCGAAAATTTAACGACAACATGTAACAAACTTAATTGTGAAATTGAAAACAAAGATGCACACATTTTAGAAATTACCAATTTGTTACAAAACAAATCTGACATGTTGCACGAATATAAAATAGAATTGGAAAGTTTAAGAATAAACGATGAAAAACATTTGGAAAATGTTGAGGATTTGAAGGAAAAATTAAATTTAAAAATAATCAAATATGAAGAATTAAATAAACAATGTATTGAATTGAAAAATCAAAATGTTATTCTATTTAAAGAATTGGATTCATTGAAAGAACAATATATTCAATTAGAAGAAAAAAATATGAAATTGGAACAGAAACTTCGAAACAGTAATAGTAGAATTAAATTAGAAACGGATATGGAAGAATTACTCGAACAGAATAAAGCTTTACAAAATAATTTAGATGGTGCTTACAATTGTATAGCAGAATTGAAGGATAAGAAAAAACATTTGTTGGAAGAATATTTAAGTACAAAGGAACGATATGAATCTTTGCTCGATGAAAATAAACAAATGATCAAAGAAATATTGTTGAATAAAGAGAAAGATATAAAATCTATAAATGATCAGTGTGAAGAATTAAAAGGTAAAAATCAACAATTGGAGGAAGAAAACAAAACATTGAAAAAAGATAATGAAGATTTAAATGAAGAAATAGAGGTAGTAATAAAAGAAAACGATGTTTTAACGGAAAAGGTATATTCGTATTTTGGTGATGATAATCCTAAAATGTTAAAGGCTGAAATAAATACTTTAAAGGAAGAAAATCAAAAGTTACAAGACAAACTTACAAAATGTAGTAATTGTGGAATACTTCTATCAAAAGATCAATTGAAATGTAACAAAGATAACAATAATGATGAACTTGCAAATCTGAAGAAACAAATAAAAGAGTTAGAATTCGAATTGGTATCTAAAAATGGGCGAATTGCTACATTACAATTACAAATACAAGGAGGAAGTTTTCCATATCAGGAAAAATGTAAAGACTTGGAAGAAAATCTGTTGGCATTTAAAAATAAGGTATGTGATAAGTTTCTTTTTTTTATCAACAACATTATTTCAGACATTTTTTCATGGATTTGAAATACTTATATTTTTTATTTTTATTTTTTTTATTTTTCTTTGACAGAACATTCAACTAGAAAGTGAAATAAAGAAACTTAGACATGCTATGTGTGAAATTGATATGAAAGAATGTTACAAGTGCAAAAATCAATTTATTAATCAAAAAAGTCAATATGTTCAAACTATACCAATCAGTAAAATACAATTTTGTGGAACTAGTAGCGGTATTGTTGAGGTAAGCATTCATTTTTTTTCTTTTTTTATAAATACGATGAATATTTCTCTTTTATTTCTTAGTCATAATTTTTCTATAACAATTAAATCAAATAAATAAATATATATATATAAAATTATGTTTTATTTAGAATCACGTGCAAATAGAAAAATTAGAAAAAGAAAAAGCTTTCATGAAACAATTGTGTCGTTCACGGTGTAAGAAAATAAAAGAACTTGAAAAGAAATTAATGGAACTTCAAAATATTGAAGATTTATCTGCAAAAACGAACATTTATCCTGAGGATAGATCGTGTGCCACGCCAAAGTATTAATTTAATTAAAAACGAACTGAAAGTTTTTTTTTAAAAAAGAACGTCATTGTAAAAAATGTAAAATTTTATCTACATTTTGACATATTTTAAGTATTTTATAAATAATAGAAATTATTATTGCTTTTTTGCAAAATCATTATATGTGTACATATGAAAGTATTATTGTAAATGATTATTTTTATATAATGACTAAATGTTATGAGCAATGATTTTTGTAATTACAGGTTATGATGGTATTATTAATAGATTTATGTATTATCTATAAGCACCCTTGTATTTTTTGTAATGATAAACATTCTTGTATATTCTCCTACTATAATAATTAATAATAATTCAAATTTATTCAATATACAGATATTTTTACTTTGAAATAAATCTATACTCATTAAAAACTAAACACCTTCGAACGACCACTTTTCCACAGTCAGGTAGTGTATGAACTGTACTATCAAAGAATACTGTATTCTTTGATAGTACTATACCGACATTGCGTTAAATATCTACTACCGCTCCTGGCGGTCACGGTAATAACTAAAATGAATCTTATACGGAAAGAATAGACTTATGTGTTAGTGTGTACTTTTGTAATCTTTGCTATTATCTTTAATGATATTATCTGGATTTCAGTGCACTCTTGTGGGATAAATTAATATTTACTTAACCTTATCTAAGCTCGTAAGTTAATACAGATTCGTGTAAGTTTTAATAAACACGTACATGAAAAGGTGGATATTAATTCTTTTTTTATTGTAGATATTTTTAATGATTTTTAATTACAAAGTTCTTTTTTGCATGATTAATTCTTTTAATTAAGTATACGAGAATAATATCAAAATTGTTACATTAATTTTAATGATAATAATTACATTATTGTATATTTTTTAAATAAAATTTTAATTAAATACACTACACTTGTTTTTTGGATTATATTTAATTACAGGTTATATGAAATTTGATTTTTCCCTATTTTTTTATAGGTACCTATAATTTTTATAATGTTATATCGTGTCTTTTTAGATATGAATAAATAATACATACGATTCGAAGGTGAAACTTGCAACAAAGCAAATTATTTTGAGTCATCGTTAATTGCTATAAATAAAACATGCATATACATATATATATATACGTGCGTATGTATATGTAAGTTAAGTATATCGATTGTCATCCTAAATTTTACGATCTCACAAAAACAAATTCGATAATTTCAAATTAACATATTTGTCCCCCACTCGATCCTCCTTTTTTTTCTTCTCTTCGTTCTTCGTCATCGTTCACACCTTTCTTCTCCCACCTGATAATATTATTATTCTTATTATTACGATTATCATAATGTTTCATCGCAACTCTATTAAAAATAAATATCTATCGATCTATCTAAATATGCGAGTATTTGATCGAATCGCATTGGTATTCTGATTGGTCAAATGACAGGCCGGCATTAATTGGCCATTAACGTTGGATAGGTGGGTGGTCTATCTATTTATCTATCTCATTCTATCTCATTAATCTATCTCTATCTATCTCTCTCTTTCACTATCTAGTAAGAATAACAAAGTCAAATTTAAACTAGGTAGGTAGAATCAGAAGAACAATCCTACACTACAAGAACAATCCTTGTTTCCTTCGTAGAGAGAGAGAGAGAGAGAGAGAGGCATAGATTTAATGAAAAGTGTTGTATATCAGTGGTGATGGTGTGATGGTGATCGGTAAAACTGTGTGTGGTGGTTTGTGTCGTCCGTTTATGTTGTATTGTGTTCCACCGAGTTGTCACGTGACAGTCGGATGAATTTACGTCAATGGTGACCTCCGCGTTCGCGTATCCGTGCATACCGGGGCCATGCTGCGCGATTCCTTTGCGTTGGATACCGGTCGTTCTCATTCTCTCATTCTCTCATTTTCTCATTTTCTCTTTCTCTCTCTCTTTCTCTCTTTCTCTTTCTCTCTCTACGTATAATATATCTTTTCTTGTTTTCTTTCATTTTATTTTTTCTTGAACTTTCGATCAAATTGTCAACCGCGAACTGACTGGATACTACGTGTACCATTTTCTGTTTCTTTGTTTTTTTTTTTTTTTTAATTTCATCCTCATCTTTAAATTTAAGAATAAAAAAAAAATGAGATTGCTTTTTTAAAAAGATTAGAAAAATTTTTTAAAGATTATTATTATTATTATTATTTTAATAACGTTCCAATATTTGATTCATTTTTCGTTTGTTCCTTATTCGAAAAATGATACTTTTTTGTTTTCCTAAATATCGTCGTTTATGTTATCGATGATCATATTATATATTTTAATGAAAATTGGAAAGTGGTTGATCGATAGGATAATTGTCGATAGGAATGCGTTCGAGAATTCAGATAAGTAAAGTTAAAAGCCGGTTTTAAGCGGTTAATCGAGACTCGCAGTTCGATACGAAATCGTACCCGTAATGTTTTTCTCGTTTCTTCTTTTTTTTTTTTTTTCATTTCTTTTTTTTTCATTTATTTTTTTACCTTTACATCGACATCATTATTTCGGTTATATTTATTTTTATTCAAAAAAAAAAAAATATAATAAGTAATGTATGCGTGCAAAAGAGAGAGAGAGAGAGAGAGAGAAAGAGATAAAAGAAAGTTAATTAATGAAAAAATAATTTGTTAGATAAATTGGAAGATTGTTTCAAACGTTATTTTATACCCATCAGAAGTATTATTCCTTAAGAAAGAGAGAGAAAGGAATAAAAACACATATGAAACGTGGATGGAGGAACGTTGGAACGTAGGAACGTGCGAAAGAACGTTCGTAATACTCTCGCAAAAAAAAAAAGGAATCTTAAAGAGAAAAAGTTAAAGGAATGAGGATAGATTATAAAATAGAAAAGGTATAATAATATCGTATATTATTATTATTATTTTTTTTTCTATTATATTATACAGAAAATTAGAAATTATTTCAATGAAAAAAAAAAATATCATTTCAATAGATCGTTTGATTTAGTTTTAATTCTTCTTATTATTTTCGATATATTTTAGCGGGAATTTGTTATTATTTGAATTTAATCAAATTCGATCTCAAGAACATTACGTCAATGCTACGTACACGTGTATGTAAATATGTATATATATATATGTATATACATGTATTTATGGCTCAGCTAAATAAATGCGATACCTTCGAATGGTTTTACGCGACTGTAAAACATAAATCCGTTTACAATCTTACATCACACTTTAAATAATATACGTAGAAATGAATGCATGTATATACTTACCCCTTTTACAAAACGAAATAACAATTAACTTTAATTTTGATTTTCTGTATAAATTTGTTAATATAAATTAGTATAAATGTAATAAGACATTATTGTTAAACATCTTATAATATTTCGGGAAATATGACATATGAAAGAAGAAGAATAGTTGACAACGTAATCCAAATTACTTTAACACTAGATTTACGGATGTTCTCTTGACTATTTTTTAATGACTTACAAACATTGTTTGAATGAAAAGTTGAATAAAAAGGGAAGGAATTAATATTTATACAAATATTTTATTGCGCAATTAAAAATCAATATATGTTTTTTTAAAAATAATATTTAAATTTTTATATATTATGCATAATAATCAAAATTTGTAATAAGTCAAAATGGCTGCTCCGTACGCTTAAATCCGTAGTATTCAATGGTTAATTATATAAATATTAATTATATCATAATATATAAAATAGATTATTAATAATAATTATTAATCTAGTGTTATAAATAATTTCATTTCGTTGTCTTTCTTTCTTTCTATCTTTAGCATTTGTTGTTGTTGTATTTTTCTTTCGTTCCCAAAAAAACGTGTCGCGAAATATGTTACAAAGATTCGTTAGCCAGCATTTGCATGACACCCGCGAACTTTTTCGTCACACGAACGAAAAATTCTAACTGTTCGTGTGTTATACGCACGTATGTAAGTAATGACGCACGAAACTCAAGTTTGAAAAAAAATGAAATTGGCCAACAAGAAGTCGTCGGGGTCGTGTGAATGAATTCGGTGGTGATCGTGTCTCTCTTTCCTTTTCGTTTCATTTTTTTTCTTTTCTTTTTTTTAATTCTTTTCTACACCTCTTTTCTCCAAAATAAATCTTTTTATCTTTCTAGTAAAGATATTCTGTTTTTTTTTTTTTTTAAATTAACCTATTTTCCTTTTGTAAACTATTCTCATTCAATTTTTATCAAACTTTCTCTATCCGACATTTTGAATTTTTGTACAATTTTGATTTCTCAGCGTTCTCACTTTCTCTGAAAAAAAAAAAAAAAAAACCAAAGAAAAGAATTGTTAGGCGGACGAATCGATTGAGGTTTACGATGTTATCGCATTTTTTATATTCAAGGTTAATCGAAGGTCATGCTACAGATATATTTAGATATATTTTTTCACCTGTTACAAGGTAGAATATAAAAGAATGCTTCTTTTAGTCGGGGGGAGGGGATGGGGGAGCTCAACCTGTATAAAACTTAAGATAAATTAATTGAAACGTAAGCACGCGCGTGAATCTCGATTTGAATATAATCTATCGATAATCGATTCTCTTTCTTACATTTATTCGTGTCAAAAAGTACAACCTTGTTAAATAGGAAGGACAAGGACATGGACGATTTAAAAATATCAAGTTTGGTGTTGTAAGGCTCTCGGGAAATGTCAGTTGTGAATAATTTGGTCAGATATATCCTTCGTATATACAAATTCAAAGAGGTGAGTTTCGATAACGCGTGCAAAGTCACGAATACAAATTCTCTGTGTATGTGTATGTGTATGTGTATGTGTATATGTATGTTGAATAATTTTTGCGTTAGTTATGGCTACGACTACGTTGTTCAAAGAATATAACGTAACATGGTTTAATTTCATAAAACCAATCCCCTGTTAGAATTCATTGTAAGCAACGTTTGGAATAAATTCAAATATCGAAAGATCATCATCGTTAAAAGGTATATATATATATATATCATTTACTTTAAAAAAAATCATTCAACGTGATCATATGTTCGTTATTACGTGTATTACCACTCCCACATGTATATATATATATATATATATATATTCGGATTTATTTCAGAATCAATGTTTTTGCAGATGTGTATCTCTTTTTACGCTCGTGGAATTTATTAGGATTTTCATCGACTCAAGTTGTTTGTCTCTTATATATATATATATATATATATATATAGTATCTTTCTATTTATCTTAATTGATCTATCGATAGAATGAGAAATACAAATAATATTCAGAGTAATTATTTCCATGATTATTTTAAGATAGTAATTTTTTTTTTATTTAAATACAAAAATAATTATCATACAAATTTTTAATAATCTTATTAGATAACATGTATTACATGTTCATATATATATATATATATTTATTATATGAGTCATATTATATATTATATGAGTCATAATCGTACTAGTATTCTACTATCAATTTAAAACAATTAATATTATAAATGTTTTTATAGACAGACACCAATTTAAGATAATAAAATATTTATAGGATCCTATTAAGAATTTTATTAGAATTCTATTAGTTAAGTATTGGAATCCAATTAGGTTTCTTGGTAATGTAAAAATGAAAATGAAACGGATATATGTTATTCTTATTTTTGTAATATCTTATCTCTTATCTATCAGGTGACAAAAATTACTTGGATGCTTTTTAAATAATTTTCATATTTATTTATTACGTGTCTGTTATTTTGTGATATTTTCAATAATGACTTTGATCCATCTTTTTTTCAGGTATTTAAAAAGATTTCCTTATATTAACTAGTAGAATAAATTTTCAAAGCTTGAAAGGAAAAACCTGGAACACCCCGTATATATATATATATATGTATATGTACATTTACAAGTAGCTCTGCTTTCCTCATTTGAGATTTTGCAATATTCGTAACGAACAGTTCCACATTGCATTCAATGGTATGTACATGCAATCATTTAGTAATAAATACTTGGAATCATTTAATACAACTCGATGACATATTTTGTGGTACTTATTATGAAATATTTCTATTACTCAAAATGTATCTAATAGGTACTTTACATATATATATTTATATTATAGTATATAACTGTTAAAATGAATTAGATACTTTTTCAAAATGTATTTTACATTTATTTATGATATCTAATTAAAAAACACAATAACATACTATATTGTAAATCTATTATAATAATTATTATTATAAAATTAATTAATTTAAATGAAAGTAATTTAAAATTATTATTATTATTAATTAAATTTATTATTTTAAATATTAAAATTTATAATTAAACACAATAACATAATATATAGTAAATTTATTATAATAACTATTATTATAAAATTAATTAAATTAAATTTTATTAATTTAAATATTAAAATTAATTAATAAATATTAGAAAAACTTTTGTATATAAATTTTATTTGTGTGTCTAGAAAAAAGAAATATAATAAAATTAAATTATAGAGTCAATATGAGTATTAAAATTTAAAATAAAATGGCGGGAAAAAAGAATGCGTTGAAATTTTATTAAACATAATTAAATTCTATTAAACAGGATAATACAAAGAAACGATCGAATGATTTTATTTCTAAGAAATGTTCAAATATATGACAAACTTATTCGTATAGAAACTAATTCATGTAACCACACTAGTCATATCCTGTATTCCGTTAGTGACGATTCATCGTTTAAAGTCTTTCTTTCGGTTTCGATATTATCGTGACATCTTCCAACGTACTCTTCTCTCTCTCTCTCTCTCTCTCTCTCTTTCTATTTTTTGTTGTCTTCTTTCTCTTTCTCTTTGACGCACTTGCTGACTTGACACAATGAGAGCATTGTTGGTAGTTTCAATAAATTTTTGTATATTTTTTTTCGCTCGTCTTTACTTAGAACCTTAAAGAGGAACCTTAAATAACGCAAAAATATCTAAGAAATGCTTAATAATTTATAATTCCCGTTACTTTATATTTCCCCTTCTTATTTTTTTCATTTTTATCCATAGATGCATGAACAAGAGTATCATTGTGTGTACCAGTCAAAACTTGTATCTATATCTGTGTTTATGAAAGTATTCGCGTCATAGGAAGACGAAGAAAAACCATCTTTGATACGTGGAACATATGAAAAGATAAAAAGTGCAGGAAAGATAGAGATAGAGAGAAAGAGTGAGAGAGAGAGAGAGAGAGAGAGAGGGAGAAGGAAAGAAGAAGATACGAAATTAACCGGAACGAAAAAGAGACTAGTTAAACAAGAAGTACCACGAACTAACATAAATTTATGATTTTATTGTTTAAAAAATTGTTTTGTTATTATTTTACGTAGAAATCGTAGAAATTCTTGAAAATAACAATAAAGATTAGTAATAATATCTAATTTGAACGGATACATAATGTATAATCTTTATATATTGTAGAAAAATTCTATAACAGTCACTAAACTTTCGTTTTTGACGTATATTAAACGTATTATGTCTCTCGTTGTTGGTGTCTTATTGCATTGACGTAAAGAAATACGAGGAGTATAATATACGGTATTAAACGTATCGAGTTTGAACTCTTATGTAAATTAAAGTAATAAAAATATTCATGAAATAGGATTAAATAATCTTGTTGGTTTCGTATTAAATTAACCTGTAAATAAATGAAATACATTTAAATAAACCTTTCTTTTTTTTACGTTAATTTAGGAAATAATTTGCAAATTTAAGAATAATCTAACGTAATATTGTTTAAATATTATACAATTAATTAATGTACTTTGAATATTACTAAATTTCGATCTATTATATTAGATGAACATTTGACCCTTGCAGTCATCACTGCAGGTCAGTCACACAGTCACCCTGCACCAGGGGCGTAAAAAAACTAATTATTAATATATAAGAAAACATATTTATATATTATAAATATATTAGAATGAAAAAAAATCTTTAAATTGGAACGTTATAATGTTAAATTCTATTAATTAGGTGAATTATTTTCGTTATGATCATGTGCAACGTTCGGAATGTCATATAAACAACATTGAATAAAAGAATTTTGACAGAGGACATCGCACCAGTCTGAAGGGGAATTTTGAGGTAGACGGTACTCCCGATCATATACTCGGTGTTTTTAAACAACAATACACATTTCTTTCAATTAATTAATAATTATTTTAATACTTTAATGCACTCTACTTATATTACATAAGTTTATTAGACGAACATTTGACCTACGAAGTCATTACTGCGCAGGAATACTAAAACAAGTATACCTTTGTAAAAACAATCGTATAAAATTCAAAACAAAAAAAATACTAAACTCAGAACATTATAATCTTAAATTCTATTAATTACGAACATTATCTCCGTTATACACATGCGCAACAATTTTCAATAAAATAACTTTGATAGAGGACAACGTTTCAGTCTAACAGTGGATTTTGAGGAAGAAGGTGCATCGAAGGTATACATACACATTTCCTTCGAAATTAACTAATTAACAATTATCTTCTATTTATATATATATATATATATACACTATTTTATTTTTATTACAATAATTCTCTTTTTTTTATAGCTCACATTTTATGATCAAATCTTCAACACACCTCATTCCATTGGATCACGAAGTTGGTATCATCTTGTGTATTACGTAACATGTAAGTAATTATATATATATATATATATACATATAATACTATACATATATATTCACACGTACTTATACGTGAATGTTCAGTTCCGGTCGGAATTTATCCGGTTAATTTTTTATACGTATCCAACTCACATTCTTATTCCTATCATCGTGATGATTGTCATCGTCTAGGATAAAATTCGTATTAGTTCTGTATATAAATATATATATATATATATATGTTTAAATTTACTAATATTTCTATTATTTACTAATATATTAAATATATATAATATATATTTAAATCTACTAATATATTTCTATGTGATTCATTGATTGGGTTGGCAAAAAAATAATTTCGGCTTGCACCAATAGATAGCGTTATGTTTATCTTTTTCGTTATTCTTTTGTTAATGTTAAAATTTTTTTTTCTTTTGAAGTTTGGTAGTGACACTTTTAGGTTGCTATAGAAACAAATTCCATGTAATTTTGTTTACAATTGTTAGTTTAGAAACCATTGAGTTTGATTTTACATTAGAAAACCGAAAGAAAACTTTCTTGCCAACCCAATATATAGTAAATATGATTTAAGTATTTAAATATGGAGAATATAAAATTATTAATGAAGGTGATAAACTTCAATATTTTGTACAATAATTAAAATAATTAAAAAGAATGTGATTTAATACGAATTTATTTTCTTTTTTTTTAGGTGTACTTCAATTTCTTTTTGAAGAAAATCGTTGATACGCAATCGATCTTTACACGATGAATCATCATTGATTGATACCAAAGAATAATAAGTTTTGTAGAATGAATTTATACGAGGAAGCCTTCGATGATACACGGCTATTCCATTTGAACAAAATTCCATGAGCCATTGATGTGAGTAATTCTCTTCTTTCGTTTATTTTAAACGTTCCTTCATATTCGCGTAACATATGAAAATGTTACAGACAAAACGCACCTGTATAACCTAATTCCTTCTTTAACATTCTGTTATCGTAAAAAGGTTCTTTCCAAATTCATGTCGATGCAACGATATACGTTGTTTTTTTATTTTTCATTATTTTCAATATTTTATTTTAAATATTTGTTCTTTTCATTGTTTAATATCATTTCTATTAAAATTTACTTCCAAATTTCTTATTTTTATCATTAAATTATTATTAATATAACTTTAATATAATATTAACTTATTATATTAATATTAAATTATTATTATATATATATAACATAACCTTAATATATAATATTAACCTTATTATTAATATTAAATTATTATTATAACATAACCTTAATATAATATTAATCTTATTATTACGTATTTATTTGTTTAGCTTTTAAATTTGATATATATATAATTAAATGAATTTATTAAATAATTATTTTAAATCTCATATTATTTTTAAAATAAAAAATCAAATAAAACATTAGAACAATTTTATTGACATCAACATCGTACAATACTTTCACAGACGTTTTCTCTTACATCAGTAAATTAGAAAATATGAAAGAAAAAAAACATAGGACGCAACATAAATTCCATTTCTGACCTGAATTAATGTGAAAGAGAGACAAAAAAAAAAGAGGGAGAGGAAAAAGAAAATGTTAGGAAGAGAGATATTTGGTATGATGTAATACTTATCAGAAATTCTTGTTTCACAAGCAACAAGATTATTGATACCGTATATACATTTATCTAATTGTAAAACAGTACTTTTCACGCAAATACATTTTTTGTTTTTTTTTCTTTCTTTTTTTTTTTTTTTTAAACGAGACCATGTATGTTTTGGAAAAAAAAAAAAGAAATTCAAATATACCAGAGACATATTTGATAAGAATAAATAAAGAGGTATCGCCGATGAGATATCTTAATTCCCTATTTGAGTCATAATGACGACATTTTTTTTTTTTTTTAATGGTCCCCGCAGAGAGGAGGAGGAGGAGTTTTATGGCTCACTGCTTAAAAACTATTGATCTTAAAATGAAATAAAATGAGTGGTTCGGTATCTTGGACGATTAATCAACGTATAAAAATAAATTACTTTGTATTTTGACGATAAGATATATGAATAGGTATATATGTCAACGTTAAATTTATATTATTCAGTTAAACAGGTCAGTATAATTATTTTAGGGATTTTACAAAGTTAAGTGTCATAAGCATATATAAATAAATGAGAAGATAAATTTATTAATTCGATAATTTATTTGATTTCAATCGTTCTTTTTTACTAAGTATAATTATTATATTAGCATTTTAATTATAATCAACTTGTATAAAATCCAAAATAAAATGTAATTTCTTTAGAAAACTCAATTAAAATTAATCAACTTTTATATTTTTAACAAATTGTTCAGCCATTAGAAACTATCCAATGATTTTGTTTAGCGCATTTTTGCTTATCTTCAACAAACAGTTGCAATAATCTAAATTTGTTACGATAAAGATATCACTACGCGTGTCTAATTTATAGCATATTGATGTTAAATTTAAATTTCATGTTTATAATCTATATATATATATATATATTCACGACTTTTAAACTGAATGTAAGAAATATATATCTATCTATATATATATATATATATATATCGATTAGAATTAATCTATTTAAATATTATATAATATTTTTTTTTTCAACGTAATATCAAATTGATTTTTTTTCTTTTTTTTTTTTTTTTACAAAATTTTCTTTGACAAGTATTTAAGTATTAACGATAATTTTTCAAACTAAAAGACCAGATGTATATTGGCATTGCTAACACAAATTAATTATTATGCTCATATTTTTAATACATGACAATTGCTAGTAATATTTACCAAAGATGATTTATTATCCAGGTGCGTTACAACTCATTCAAACAACATTTGATTCTAGCAGTTATTATCATTATTATTCGAGTTCCGTTTTCACGTCAAAACTATAATAGAATTTATTATTGTTATACGTATAATAATAACGTATAATAGAATTAAATCTTATAAGGAAAATAAAAAAAAAAAAAAAACAGAGCTTCAACTATTTGAAAAGAATACAATTTTATAAAGACATTTTTGTTGTTGTTGTTGTAATTAAAAATCCTGTTAGACATAGTTGTAATAAATATATCAACATAGAAATATATATTTGCAACGTCGTAGGAATAAAATGTGTTCTCTTTGAAATAAAGGATGCAGGGGGCTGTGACCCGAATAATCATTATCGATTCTCGTTCACGTGTTCAACTTAGTTGAGAGTGTTTGGTGGTAATGGTAGTTGTATTGATAGTGGTGGTGGTATGGTGATTGTGGTGGGGGTGGGGATGGTGGTAGCTCGACGTTGCTATTCGACGATGCTATTCGACGATGTTCTTCGACGCGTCGTCGCACAAGAGAAGCAAGCCAATAAAATTACTCTCGTGCTTCATTCGCGAGTCAGTATAATACGAAGCATCGAGGAAAGTGTTTCGTGTTGTTGTTATATAGTTCAACGAATCATCATCATCATCTTTCTTTTTATCTTCTTTTACTGTCTTTCTCTCTCTCACTCTTGTACTGTCTGTCGCGTGTTCTTTTTTTCGTTTACACAGAAGAATAAAACTTTACACACGTTATTAGTGAAACTTTCTGTTATCAGATAAATTTCTTTTAATAGATAATAGATAAAAACATTAAACGAGTAGATAGAAGTATTTCAAATATAATTATAATTAATTCAACGAATATGTGAAATAAAATCAAAAGAAAGTAAATTATCATCAATCAAATCGATACAACCAATCAAATCGTATCTCTAGATTAGTATTCTTGCATCCTTATTGGTCAGAGGACGCAACCATCGCTTTCTCTTTTTCGAACTGATATTCACATCTACGGTGCACGTGAAAGTATTTCTTATGGTGTTTATATATTTCTTCTTACATCTATGTTGAAGATATACAAGAGGACAAGGAATGATACAAATATAGAATTTAATTTAACTGTAATTCTGAAAGAAAAAGAAAAAACAAACAAAAAGAGACGATAGACATTCGAGAAGTTTAATTGATTTTTAATCGATGTTTCGTAAATAATACGTGTGTGTGCCAAGTGCATAACCGTAAAAAGTGACGTTTTGAGAGGAAAGTGCGTGAATAATTTGAAAGGAAGGAAAAACAAGAAAGATATAGGAGGAGTGTAGAAAACAAAAAACTAAAAAGGGAATAATGTCAAGTAGCGTGTGTCACGCACCCCTACCAACACGAATGGAAACATTCACCACGAGACTTTGTCTACGTGCGGTTGATCAGTATGAGCGGCTTTTGCAGGCTCACTTCAACAAGGTATGCAAACTTATTTGATGAAGAGAATAACATCTCGTTATCTCGTATTATTAATCTTTATTTCAACTTTATACGTTTGTTATAAGCATACTATCATCACCACCACCACCACCACCCTACTATCTATGTCAACTATTTTTGTATACTATTAATACAATTTTCATTTAAATAACCCTGAGATAATTACATAGTATAAATTATCAATCTTTGTGTAAATTTATTATTATTATTATTTTTATTTCAATATTTTTCTTTTATGTAATAAATTAAAAACGAAACTGTGTTAAGGTCTGTTAATAAAATTGTATTAATATTGTGTAAGGTGTGGTGGCTTTTTGTTAAACACTCATTTTCTTCTACAATGATAACTTCGTGTTCATTTCTCAAATATAACAGTTAAGCTTCTGATAAAAGTAAGACTTCTTCCTATGATATGTTATATTTGTAATATAGATAGATAACTTGTCTCTTTTTTTTCTAATAAAACTTTGAACTTTGATAATGTAACATTTCATCGGATGCATTTTTTCATATTAGGTAAGATCTTAGTAAAACAGTTTAATTATTACTTAATAGTCAAAGAATGAAACATTGAATGAAACAAGATATGAATAAAAAAAAGAAACCACGTTCAAAGTATGTATTGTTTATACTACTACTAAATAATCATATTCATGAATATTTGACTAATTTTTCTACTTTTAAATATTGATTTTCAACAGGATCATTATTAACACTTCATGCATACATATTCAGCCGTGAGAGCAGTCAAATTTAGAAAGAAAGAAAGAAAAAAAAAAGAAACATATTTTAATATTTAAATGACTACTGATGAGATTTTTCAATACCAAAAAGACGTTAAAGAGAAAACTGGCAACCAAAATTCTCCTGTTTCACATTCCAAAACGAGAAAATCATTGTTCTTAAAAGAAATAATATGTTGTGTCATATAAGTGTTATATGCATGTTAAAAGTGTCATGTCAAAAGTACAGAGAAATCAGCTAATTTTGCAGCTTATCTAGACTAATAACGTGTACATAAACGATATTCGAATTTTAACGATTAACATGAATATTGAATGTAATTTATAACTCACTTAATGACTAACATAATATTTATTGTCATTTGTAAATGAATAATATGCACGTATAATTCTTTTTTTTTTTTTTTTTGTTACAAATTACTACATTTATTACAAGACACACAGTTGGACATTTGACCGCTCGTGAAAGCATTGGAAAAAAAAAAATACAAAAATACAAAATACAAAAAAGATTCACCTCTCGAGTAGATGGGTAACATTGAAAAGATGGACAAAAGCAAAGTACAATGATATCTCCTGGATGTCTATGAATAAAAGAGGAGTATCGTGCGTAACGTAGTACGTCGTTTGCTGACGTCGGGTATATAAAGAGTTCATGCCCTCGTTGATTCGTGAAACTACCCGCTTTCCAACGGAAGATCATTGACCCGTTATATGTATATACTCTTTATATATATATATATTCTCTGCTCTCTTGCTTCGTGATACGATTTAATCTCGTGGTCGAGCAAGCTTGTAATGTGGGTTTCGATGAAACTTGACCGACATTTACGTCATTGCTTTATCCGGTTTACTTTGCCCACCTCCTCCACCTCCTCTCCCTCTTTCTCTCTCTCTCTCTCTCTCTCTTTGTTTTTTACCTTTCTTTTTCTTTCCTTATTTTTTATCTTCTTCAAATTTTCATATCTTGTGTTGTCATTTTCTTTTCTAGACTTCTCTTTTTATCGGCATCGATTATATATGCATTAACACTAAACTTTTATACCACGTGCGGTCAAACTACTACGTTTTGTAATTTGTTTGTATAAAAAAGAAAAAAGAAAACAAAAAATGTACATTATTCATTTCTAAATAAAACAAGGTATATATTGTTCGTTATCCAATTCGTTCAAATCTTATTCTATATGAAAATATATGCATTTTAAGCGGTCATTTTTTAACCGTTCACGATAGGAATAGATATGCATGAAATGTCTATAGGTTTTTTTTTCTTTGTGTTAAAATTGAATTCTGTATCCATAATATGATACATATTCATGTATGTTAAAATATAGCGTTATTTTGTCAAATGTTTACTTTTGTTAAATGACAATGAGTAAAGCTGTGCATCATCAAAATATTATAAATAATTCATTTCTATTATATATATATNATTCATGACAATGTTTACATATAAAATAAAATAAAATGAAACAAATCGCATTGCGTGATTTTCATGTGCGTGAGAGAGAGAGAGAGAGAGAGAGAAAATTAATTAGATTTGTGTATTTTATTTACATATTTTTGTTTACATATTTAATAGTTTATATATATATATATATATATATATATATATATGTTATTTTAATCACACGAACACGAATGTTTTTTAAATACGTTTACGAGGAAAATGATAAAGATTAATTTATAAGAAAAATAATACTTTTATTGCTATACTTCAAATTATCTGTGAGCATTGTATAAAATCTCGATCTACAATATATGTTTCAGTAAGTTTTTGTTTAAAACATAAAAGGAAGTAGAGAATGAAATAATATGAAGTTATTATAAGTAAAATGAATCGCAACAGGTGTATGGTCACGTATGATCATGAAATGATTTGAACTTTGCGTATTGTCCACCTACACGTGCACTCACACGTGCACCCACTCGTGCACGAGTTTTCTTGACTGACTTGCCTATATGAATTTAATCTTTGATTAATATATATATATTCTGTTATTCTATTATTGTACTTAGTGTTTTAAACACAGGCCAATTGAAAACACAATTTATACTCGTAAATTGGATCGAATCCAAAATGTTTTGAACAAACTATACAATGTTATATACTTTGTTGAGTATTGTATTGGAATCTCTGGCAGGGGGGGGGTGACGTAGCAAAATTCGACCTATCTACTCTAATTTTGAATTTAGCCATCAGATAGCGTATTCAAGTGCTAAAGATCCCAATACAATTTTTGTATTCTATATATGAAGGGTAGAGGTAAGGAGTAACATCTCTTATGGGAGAAAATGTGAAAAAGTGTCCAGTGTTTTCTATAAATAACAGTTCCAAAATCTTCCAGAATGGCGCTGGTGAACTTAGAGGTGTGATATGAATGTAGCAACTGTAAATGAATTGAAGTATGTCGAGTTATGTAATAATGCAGTAAACATAACCTTAAAGAATTATTATGAGAAAACGTGTAGCTCTAGAGTGATTTTATTTCGTGAACTGTGAATAGTAAGTTTATTGATTTTTTATCATTTAATTTTATGAAAAAGTATGCGAATAACAAAGACAGTTATGGGTAAAATTTGTGTTCCTTGTTTATTTTTCAATTATATTCTAATAATATTTGGCGCTTCTTTTAAAAATTGACACTCTACGTATTGTGGCGCCACCCTAATTGAATGCATTTCGACGGACACTTTTCACATATACTGAGATGTTACTCCTTACCTCTAACCTCCATAATTTTATACAATACACATGAATTCTTTACACTGACCATAACCTATATGTTGACGTATAAAATGAAAAAAAAAAAAAAGAAAAAAGATTAAAAAACAATATCGTCTTTCTCTCTCTTAAATTCTTATTACCATTTATGGTAACATTACAGTCATGATTCAATAATCAAGTCATTTAAATTCAAAGCATTAATCATCATCACAACACAACATCTACTAATAAAGAAATTTACCAAATTTGGATCTTATTCAGTTCGTTTAGTTTTTCAAATGCACGATTACATAGTAATTAAGTAATTTATGGGCTTTTTTTTTATATTTATATCTTTGTTCTTCTCTATATCTCACTTTTGTTTTTCCTCACGTCTAAAGGTAAATAAAATATGGTTGTAATTAAGTTAGGAGTATGCATCTTGTTAACGTCAACGTTTGTTTGTTTTTTTGTTTTCTTTCTTTTCTTTCCTTTTTTTCTAATTAACATACTGATCGTTTCATCGTCAACGTTGATTTGTTTCTTTTCAACTCTCTTCTTCCTTATCTCTTTGATATTATGTTTCTATTTATAATTGCAATACAATATGCATATGAGTGTAATGCAAGATGCAATTTACAAATTGTGTGAAATTATTATCTAATAATGCATTTTGATTTCTTTCTTTCTTTTTTGAGTATTAGAAATAGAATGATAATAGTAGTAGAAAATTAAAAAAAAAAGAGAGTAGAGAACTCGTGTAACAAAATAAACGAGAATTTATCATGGTATTTATGTCACGGTAAAACTTCTCTTAAAACTCACATCGAAGTCATTGTTAACGTCAATTCTCGTACGTTTTTATATTATCATAATTACCAGTGATTAGAAAAAAAAAGAAGAAGAAGAAGAAGAAGAAAAAACTTGTAATTTTTAATATAGATCCTTATTTTTTTTTTGTTATTTTTCTTTCCCACAATTAGTACACTTCCCCTTTACTCCTCTACCTTCATCCACATTGTTTTATCTGTGACTCATTGTAATTTTATCTCGGTTTTATCCCGAGTAAAGACTAGTTATGGGATTTTTTCTTGTTTATTTTTATTATTATTTTTATCGACCAATTACTAATAAGGTTTTCCTATTTAAAAAACATTAATATAAAAATAATACAAAAAAAAAAAATCATTGGACAGGAATTAACACTAAATATTGGGATCTCTAGCATATATACCTATTTCTACCACATTAGTCAAAATGATAATTGGTGTATAAAAGAAAAATGCTTTTTTTGAGCTTTCATTGAGCTTTTATTTACTTTTAAAAAATAACAACAAATGTTGTAACAATAATAATTTTAATAGATAAATGAATTTATAAACATTTGTCAATTATTTACAAAAAAGAAATCAAATGTTACATGAAGTATAGTAATTTTGAATTAAAATGGCGTCAACCAGTGAAAATGATTGGTCTGGTATATCTAGTGTTAATTAGACGAGTATAATAATCCATATAGAACAAATAAATACAAAAAGTGAATAAAAATAATCAAGAAAAAAAAAATAAATTGATTGCACATGAATTAATTAGACGAGTATAATAATCCATATTTAAAAAAGAAAAAAATAAGAATAATGTATAACATATGTATATATAAGAATAATGTATAACATGACGCTAAGTGTCATTGGACGGTAAGAAAACACGTACATATCCTGTTTGATTATAATTGTTATTTTTTTTTTTTTTTTTACTATCGATAAATAAGCGCATGCAATCGTTTAGATTTTTTCTTTTTTTCTTATTCGATTTATTTAACACGCAAATTGCAATATACGTGTGCACAAGGTTAGGTCGTTGTCATCATCATCATCATCATTATCTTCGTCATCGTGTTATAATAATATAAACCATATCGTCGTTGTCGTCGTCGTTGGTGGAAATTCCGATCGTGAAATGTCGACGTGAAAGATCATCGATTGAAAAACAGAGAAAAAGAAAGAGAGAGAGAGAGAGAGAGAGATAAAAAATCAATGATATCATTTAAGTATTACGTGTAGGTATATGCAAATAAGGACACGAACTATGAATTTATTTGACGATTGACGTAAACGGTATCTAGTATCTAGTAACTAGATCATTATCATTTATGCATGTGTCTAGTCAAGAAATTGAAACCTAGAAATAGTTTAGTTATTTTGTTTTTTTTCCTCCTCCTCCTCCTTTTCTTTTTTGTTTTTCTTTTTGTTCTTTTTTTTTCCATTTTGATTATTTTTTAACACTAGATATACCACACCTGTCATTTTGACTAGTGTGGTAGAAAGTAGGGTATACTGAAAATGGTGGTACTTATATTTAGTTTTAATTACCGTTTAAAAACACGATTTCTTTTTTTGCATATATATAATTGAATTATATATAATATAATTTAATATTAATATAATAATAATTATAATAATATAAAATTATATATATATATTTTTTTTATGTGTTAACCATTAAATAGTATAAAATAAAGTATTATAAATTAATTTAAATATATATTATTTTATATTTATATTATAATTAAATATATTATTATTATTATTATTATTATTATTATTATTATTATTAATTAATTAATTAAATATATATTTTTAGGTTAAACGTTAAACCTTTGAAACTTGTAAATGTGCACAGTTATTTGAACTAATCTTGGCAAGTATTTATAAAAATGTGATTGCAAATTTAAATTGTTATATTCATTATTTACATTTATATTAAATTACATATTTCTTATGAAGTAACTTTTTGAATGATATATTTATCTAATAATAGTGAGAAAGTTCTCAACACATAAGACTAACATATAGAAAAGAAGAAAGAAAAAGGTTATTGGAATATTTAATTCATCAAACATCTCTTTTAAATATTAGCACGTATAGCGTATGGATGAAGAATCTGCAATCTCATATTGACCTTGATGGATATATAACTTATTTACTTATTGCTATTGGTAATAGAAGAACCTCAAGTTAGTTTGGCAAACATAGATTCGCTAATTCAATTTCCTCGTGTCCTCTAAGTTCCTTTACCTTGCAAAATATAATTAGAATGTTAGACACGTTCAACGATTCAATCGAATTCCGTAATACACGGACACCTGATGATGATACCTGCCTCTCTCTCTCTCTCTCTCTCTCTCTCTCTCTCTCTCTCTCTCTCTCTCTCGGCTGTTATTCAGTTGAGATGCGATTTTTAACTATGAAAACGTGACAAACATAGTAATGTTATGTCGTTACGCCATATATAATACATGGACACCGATATCCTTCCTATTTAAGGTAGAGAATAAACAATTACTGTATATATATATATACACACGTCGTGAAATAATAACAAAGCTATAAAATTGATGGCGCCTTCAGCATCATCGGCAGCTTATTTGTCGTCTTCCTTAACGTCTTTTGACTTCAACTTCGACTTTGACTTTGCAACAGTGTACAAAGAAAAAAAATCCGATTAGATAAAACCAAATGTGCGTACACACCTTTCTTTTATATTATTATACTTACATATATGTATGATTTATAAATTTATCAACATATCTATATATAATAAGTGCGCATTTACATTCTACAAAACACTGAATTCTTACCGTTTCTTTCATTGTTCATTTTTTTTTTTTCTTATAAGTTTCATACAAATGAATGCACATGTTTTTAATTTAAAGTATTGTTCATCATCTTGTACACAGAAAAGTCTTTTCTGACTAACACATGAGAAGAGTTGAAATGTTTTGAATCTAGCAAATTGTTTAACTCAATGATTTTTCTCACAATTTGTGTCTGACTGTATATTTTGAAGCACATTTTACTCATTTGTTAGGTTTCAAGACTTTTCATTTCATCGTCACAATGAATACAAACAAACAATTTGATGTACTCAGAAAAATCTTCAGACTAACACACAAGAAGAGTTGACAAGTGTTGAGCTTAGCAAATTAACTCAATAATTTTATTCAAAATTTGTGTATGACTGTAAATTTTGAAGCACATTTTACTCATTTGTTAGGTTTCAAGACTTTTCATTTCATCGTCACAATGAATACAAACAAACAATTTGAATCAAATGTTTATATAATCTTATTCATGACAATGTTTACATATAAAATAAAATAAAATGAAACAAATCGCATTGCGTGATTTTCATGTGCGTGAGAGAGAGAGAGAGAGAGAGAGAGAGAGAGAAAATTAATTAATTAATTTGCTGTTAAATACTTATCACGTTTTTTTTTCCTAGAAAATGTATTCAGTATTATACACGACGTTATATTTCTCTCGTTACAAATACAGTGACGTCTTTGTAAAAGTGTCTTCGACGTGTTCTTCTCCTCCGTATGCAAATACATTTATTCTTACTGTTATGCAGTAAATTCTTGACAGTGTGTGGAAGAAGATAACGCAAACACGTTTTTCGTATTCACCGTTCATTTTCTATTTCGAAGTATTATTACTTTTTTACTTTTTTTTTTTAATGTAAACAATTTATTGCGTGTTTTTCTTAAGATTTAAATTAATTGCGATACTACTTTTGTTAGAACAAAATAAAAAGAAGTTTTTTCACTTCAAAAAGAATCATAATTATATAAAAAAAAAAAAAAAAATATGTAAACATAATGATTTATTTATAAAATGTCTAATTGTAAATGAAATTATTGTTTGGGTGACATGTTTTAAGATTAATCAAAATAATATATTGAAACATTTATTATAAAAGATTTTGATTGTTTATTTATCAAATAAAATGTTGTCTCGACTGAATTAAATTCTTAGTAGGTTTTTCTTGTTACAGTCTTCTTCCAACAAAGAACAAAACCGAATAAATAATCATGATTCTTCGGCACGCAAAGATACAAGACGTCAGAAGGATGCATCTTCAAGTAACAGCAATTACAGTGCCTTTCGGCAATGGAGGAGAAGTACATCCGTTGGTACCAATCGGTCCAACAGTGCTGGACCAAGAACCGTCAATTCTATTGCCAAATTACCAAACGATGCAGCTACTATCAAAAAAATGGAACAATTTCCTCTTGTTCTTTCCGATACTACTATGCCCGATGAAGATTTGTCTTTGAAGTTTCTCGCATTGGTAAATTTATCTAATATTTATATTGAAAATGAAAATTCATTATTAATCATTGATTTATGCATTTCTAATTAATTAATTTTATTTTGAAAATCTATTTCTTAGAATGCTTTGGATCTTACTGCACCAGCTAGCGATGTATTATTGAAAAATAGACTGAAATCTTGGTTCCAATTATCTGGACATCCTGATGGTTTTGCACCTGCTGGACCTGGAACTGTATGGAAGAGAAAAAGTGGAGGAGTTGAAAATACTGAACGCATTGTCTACGAAGCTTTAAGTAAAGATGATGCATTTCGAGATTGCATTCCAAGGTACATATTATTATACATTGTTTAAAAAAAAAAAAAAAAAAATAATTCGTAAAATCCGAACAATATTTAATTATTATTATTATTATTATTTAATGTAGGTATTACAGAGAAGTCGAATATAAAGGAGACACGTTCATCGAGTTACAAGATTTATTATTTGGTTTTAACGATCCTCATGTAATGGATATTAAAATGGGTACACGAACGTTTTTAGAATCGGAAGTATCGAAGACCATGGCAAGATCAGATTTATATCAAAAGATGATTGCTGTTGATCCGAATGCACCTACAGAACAGGAACACGAACAACGTGCTGTTACCAAATTACGATATATGCAATTTCGTGAACAACAAAGTTCAACGTGTAGTCATGGATTTAGAATCGAAGCTATGAAATTACCAGGAACACCGCCGATCACATTAAAAAAAGTTAAATCGCACGAGGAAGTTTTAAATACTATGAAAACATTTCTTCGAAATAAAGAGGAAACTCGTAGAAATTTGTTGAAACGTCTTAAGAATCTAAGAACAAAGATTGAACAATCGAAATACTTTCAAACTCATGAAGTATGTATTTTTAATCACATTATTATTATTATTATTATCTGTGTTTAATTATAATGTTTATATGGTAAATTAACATTGTTTATATTATTTTTGTTTAGATCATAGGTAGTAGCATCTTCATGATTTATGACAATGAAAAAGTTGGAGTTTGGTTGATAGATTTTGCTAAAACTTACGAATTACCGGAAGGCCTTAAAGTGACACATAGACGTCCATGGGAACAAGGCAATCACGAAGAAGGATTTTTATTTGGACTCGATAATCTTATTTCTACGATAGAAGAAGTTGATATCTCCTCGTGAAAGTTTCATTCAAAAAAATGGAGAACTTCTTCTTTATCTTTTTTTTTCTTTTTTTTTTTTTTTATGTATCTTCTCTAAGTGTAATCCTTTTTTTCTAAATTCTTCTGTTATTCTTACTGATTATTTTTCTTAGTTTTTGTTTTTGTTCTTTTTATAAAAATCACCTTAACGTACAAAGATAGCATTTAAAATAGTCATTATCTTGAAATTTGTAGAAAAAAATGTTTGATTTTTCTCACATTTTTGTTTGATTTCTTTTTCAACGTTTGTTTCTGTTTTCTTAGTTATAAAAAAGTATATGTAAGAAATATTTGATTTGTTAGTCAAATAAGTAGCAGCAAATATGCAAGATTTAAGTCTGAAAATATTCTATAATTTGTTTTTAAGTATACAGCTTATATCTTAGAATCTCGATAGTATTTTATATTGCATGATTTTTATATACATTTTCAAGATATTTTTTTGTCATTTATTGAAGTATTATGTTCTATAAATATAGAGTTGTACCTTTTCGTAGCAACATTAGAAACTAATATACGCATTACATGTTTTAATTGAAATACATATGATATCATTGTGTTTTTTTTTTTTTCTTTCAAAATTCAATGTAGTTTAATATTTAATGTTAATAATAGATATTCTCAAATGTATAAGAGTCTAGAATACTACAGTATATTAACATTTTCATATTGTTATAAATTTTAGATTATTATTAGATTAATAGAATATTTCATGTTTTAGCGTAATTTATTTATATATATATATATATATATAATAATTATATTCATATTATATTTTATGTATTTAATTATTTTGATCAAGTGATTTTCTTGGTTCTTTTTTTACCTTTACTTCAACACTCTATAAATTTATTTTAAAAATCAATCATACAAATAATTATTAAAGTACATTTATTCGAATGTGAAATAATATATTATTGTGTTTAAATGAAAGAGTATTATTAACAAGAACAGAGCAATGTTGTTTATTTGACAAAATTGATATATTTACTATTTACCACAAGTAAACATATATAAAATTATCATTAAAATAAAATTTGGAGTAAAGCCCGATAAATATCTGATTTTATTACGTACTCTCTTGTGTGCGTGATTGATTCAAATTTACCGCCAAACTGACTGACGGCGACGCCAACGCCTCTGCAGGTAAAAACTGATACTAAATATGTGTCTTTAATAAAATTGTTTACTTGCGATGCTGCGCTTATTCTTTTTTAATGAAGAAGTAATTAATCAAGTTAAATTTAATATAAGAATTTATTTTAACATAAATAATGGGAACAAAAATCTTAAAGGATATACAAAGTGATATAAAACTTTTGATCACAGCGATAACTGATTTCGAGGTAGGTAGGTTATGTTGTTCTGAAATAATTTCAAAATGATCATGACAGTCAGTGGAAATAACTTTTTTTAATAACAGGAAGATGAAGAAGGATTTCAAATCTGTGAACGTTTCGTTGTTTCCAATATAAAACATCATCAATATCTTTCTGTTAATAGTCATGCAGTGAAACAATCTATTAACAATATTACCACCAAATTATCCGTATATGCAAAATTTAAAGAGGCTAAAAAATTTCAAGAACTCATCGATTTCTTTTTAAATAGTTTTGATTTTGAACATCATCCACAATATGATTTACAATGGTCCTTGTTAGCTTTGATTTTTGATTTATCATCTGAAATTGACAAAGTCGATTTGAATAATTTAAAATCATATCAAGGAGATTTTCATTCTGTTACCATTGCTAATGAAAAAGATGCCATCGAAGAGATTGATTGGGCTGATTATTTAAAAGAAGGAGAAGAAGATTTCTTTTGTGATTTTAAGGATGACGAAAGTAGTGATGTAAGTTTTTTAATGTAATATATATGTTTTAAGATATTTTTATTTATAAATTCATTTATATGCAGGAGTGGTCAGATGATACAGAAAAAGTATCAGATCTTTCCTGTGTGCCAGTGGAAACAACTTTGACAACTGTAGATGGTATAACATCCGAAGAATCAATAAATGTTAAACATAAATCCGATATATTAATGCAATCGTTAATAGAAGAATTTGAATCAAGAAAATGGTTGATGTCAAACGTTCAAAACACATGGTGGGATAAATCGGTGATTTATAAATATCCTGTATGCAGCAAATATCCCGATGCGCATTTCTGTCAAATTTGGTAATTTCATTGCAGAACCTTAGCATGTTGTATAACGCAATATTTCCAAGTAATCTAATATATAAAACAGGCATGAAACAGTTCATAAGGATTTCACTGATATTGTTCTACTTAATGAATACCAAGCGTGTAAAGAAATACTATGGATTTTCCATGTTCAAACTGAGATGACAATATTTGAGAGAGAAAGTGAATTTACATTTCGTATTAGACCTAATGTTTCTGTACCAAGTTTAACTACAGTAAGTTTTTACAAAATAATGTATTAATATTGATATTGAATGTATTTTTTTATAAATCATTTGTATGTACAGGTTGCTTTTCAAAATATGTTATCTCCACTTTGTGAATATTTATCTATGATACAAGACATAGAATTATTTGACAAAGAATTGTTGAACGATGATACAACTTGTTTGGAATATAAAAAACCACCATTCATATACGAAGCATATAATGCTGCGATTAAAGAAAAACTTTTCAATTTTAGGTTAGAAATTATAAACGTTGAGAAAAATATTACAAAACAAGGTATTATTTTTTAATTAATGTTATATTATTATAACTTTAACTCTTAAACACATTAAATAATAATATAAATATAATAAACACAATAATTATATTATAACTTAAATTTAAACATTATATATTTACGTTGATTAATTACTGTATACATTTTTACAGCTAGTAGCCAAACACTTTTGTCATTATTGGCCTCATTAGAAAAGCCTTTAAAAAAAATTAAAATATTACACGAGATTCACAAAATATCTGTAACCGATTGGAAATTATCATCAAATTGGAATTGTGCTTCAAAGTTACTTTCAAATTTACTTTTACAAATTACAAACTCACATTGTCAAGAAAAGACTTATTTATGTGTTAATTTGTATCTGTCAACTATTCCTGTATATTTGAACATTATTGATACATGGTTAGGTGATGGACGTTTAGAAGATTGGAGAGATGAATTTATAATAGAAAGGTACAAATTTATTAAAAAACTATTGTTAAATTTTGTCTCATGTAAAAATGACCATATACATTGTTATTAGAATTTCAGATGAAGAAGTTGCAAAAAGTAAAGACCAATGTATCAAATTTTTGGCAAGACCATTGGATGATATTTGTTTAGAGGATAATGTTATGCAATTATTAATTAACAAAGTACAACATATTGGACACAGTATTGATTTACTTGTATCATTAAATCGTATCATGGAAATGTGGAATGAAAAAATTATAGTTGAAGGTATATATATATATATTTGGAGACGATGAGGATACAGTCTTCTTATTGTAAGATACCGGTCCGAGAGGAAAGGGTGTAGCCGTGAAGGAAGCCTTATCGTTGATAATTTTTAGCGTAGAAAACAATTACGGTTTTTAAATGTGATATCGCGAAGATCGTCGTAAGCTGACTGACAGTTCGGCGGCGTTCGGCGGCGTTCGGCGGCGTTCGGCAGGCGTTCGGCAGGCGGCCGGCTCGCCGCCTCGGAAAGATCGGGTCTCCGCAGTCCGCTGTGATACCTGCCTCCGCCGACTACGGCGCTGCTGAGCGCGCGCCGCCACATATATTTCATTTTTCAATTAATTAATATTATTTGAATTATTTCAGAAAAGAGAATGTCTTTGAAGGATGAATTTTATACCTTGTTATTGTCTGAAATATGCAAATATACAACTCAGGTAAATGAACCAATTGATAATTCGCCATCAGAAGTGGATGGGATTTCACCAATTTCAGAATGTGATGAAGATTTGGAAAAAAATATAATGCAACAATTGTCAGCTGTGAATAATCCATTTTTAATGAAAGCATTCAAGGATTATCTACCATTAGATTTATATGAACAAGATGTGGTGGATAGTAGAAAGTGTGTATCCACTAATTATGATAACAAGTATCGTAACAAATTATTTAACAGGTAATCTTTTGTATTATTGAATTATTATATTAATATATATCTATAGATTGCATTATGTATTAATATATATATATCTATAGATTGCAGGAAGTTGCAGAACACACGTTGCCATTAAAAAAAATTTTGGAAAAGATATTATCCGAAATTTTAGATTTGCGTTATAGCAGTGCTAGTAAATTAGTAAAAAATATAATGATGTTGGAATACAAATTGGAATCACATTTGAAATTAATGAGATCTGTTTATATGATGGAGGCTGGTCATATTATGAATAAATTTTATCAGATATTATTTCACGAGGTAGAACAGATCTCTTTGTTTTATTTTTAATTAAACACCATTATAAAATTCATATATTAATTAATGAATATATATATATATTTTTACAGATAGAAACTAATCAAATGTGGAATAATTCATATTTTTTATCATGTATATTAGAAGAAATACTTTCTCAACAATGGCCAGATTCAAGTTCACATTGGTCAATTATAGTACAAGATGTTAATAATACACATCAAGTGTTACAAGCTGTTGATAATATTACTTTATGTTATGCAACAGGATGGCCAATAAATATTGTATTAAATGATGACATTTTAACTAAATACAATGAGATATTTAGATTTCAATTAAAATTAAAATGGGCTTTGTGGACGTTAAATAATTTAAAATTTATTGGTAAAGGATTATTATTGTTTCAATAATAATGAAACATTTAAGAAAAATACTTGTTAATTTAACTTGTATTTTGTTTTTAGACTTGGAAGGTTTAAAATCATTACATCCTAAAAATAATATTGAACATTTTCAAATAAGACGTCTTGAAAGTTTACGTTTTTGGTTATTACATGCTATTGGATCAATTCATGCTTATTTATCAGGACAAGTATTGCAAAGTTTAGGATTCATGTTTGATCAATCTTTAACTCAAGCTGATAGTCTCGATGGAGTTATATCTGGTATGTTAAAAATCTATTCTATGTTACATTTTTTTTTTTATAATTATCTGTTATGTAATATTATTTTGTTGTTGTTGTTGTTGTTGTTGTCTATTTCAGTACACAGAGAATATTTGGATAAAGTTCATAAACATTGTTTGTTAACCGAAGAATTTGAAGATTTAATGACCACCGTAAATAATGTAAGAAAATACTTTGTAATAAAATATTTCCAAATATTTGAGGTTAACTTCAAGAATGATTTAATTACGTTCAAATAATAGTCATATGAATTATTACAAATTATATTAACGTATTCAAAACTATTGTTGAAGTTATATTTATATATTTGGAAATACTTTTTGGAAATATATATAAGGAGGACCAAAAAGTAATGTCATCAATTTGTATATTTTAATCAACAATCGATTGATTTTGCATCTGTTTTGTATTAAAAATTTGCATACTAGATGAAAAAAAAAAAGGTTGTTGATAATGAGGTTATGTTATGTTATTAATTTATAAGTAACAATTTGTTCAAAATGTATTTGTTTGAATTTAAGGTTAGGAAGCGACATTACTCTCTGGTCCACCTAATATATAATTAATATATTATTAATATATATTGTATATATAATTATACAATGTGCTTGTATATTGATATATTGGTATATTGTATACACCATTGTATATTGATACCATACAAATAGCATAATATATATTAATAATATATTAATAATATATTAATAATTCTGTATAACATTATCTAACATAAATTTATTGAATACAGTTAATAGAAATGTGTATCCATATTCGAGACCATTGGGATTATAAAAAACTATTACGTACTGTAACGGAATTAAGTTTAATGGAAAGCAGTTATATAAAATACCACACGTATCTTGCATTGACTTTACATAACACGGTTCAATATAAAGATGCAGATTATCGTAAGTTTTACGTTTTATTTTCTGTAATATATATCTATATATACCTATATATATATAAACAAGATAATAATTTCAATAGAAAATTAATGATCACGCGTATGTTTTTTTTCTATTTTTATCTTTTTACAGTAGTGGGATTAAGTTCAGCCTTTAACTGCAGTATGCCGAGCATGTAAAAATATTAATGTGTATTATATAATTTGTTTATATAGGTATCATTAATTCATTTTTCACACAAGTTATCATATAATTAATTACATCATTAATGTTATTAACATATATATATATATATATTTCATCTTTTATTATATTAGATTTATTTTTGATATTATATACAATTTGTCACACAGATGTAAATTAATTTTTTCAAATAAGAGAGAGAGAGAGAGAGAGAGATAAGAAAAGAAAACAAAAAAAAAGAGATAAAAAAGAAAACGTTTACACTGTGTATACGTGAGACAGAGGACAACAACATTGTATGTGTTGGTTGTACGTGTGTTAAAAAAATTTTTCTGAAAAATGTCATTCTAATCATCTCTCCTTGGTTTCCTGATAATTATTAAAGTCACTTGAATATTTTGTTCTTTCCCTTGTCCTC